GCGTCGTGAGCCGGGAACCGAATGTCTACGAGGCCCCTTTGTCGGCATCTTCGTCGTGAAGCTTCTTTCGACCCGCCGTGTCCTGGCCAATGCAACTTAAGCTTGTTTCGACCCATCCGACACGTTTCAGACAAACTCGTCGAGCTACGCGATTCGGCCGTCCCACACGGCCCCTCCCCTATAGATGGCCGGCAACGGCGTGGCCTCATCTGTGGCGGGGTTGCATGTCGCCTGAAGCTCTCCTCGACTCGACCACCCACCTGCCTGTCCCGGGGTTATTTATAGAACTGACGCCATGACTGCCCGCGGGGTAACGGTAGGGGCAATGTTAGTGATTGATGAAGCATCTCCAGGGTCTCGTCCCGGGCCGTGTCCTGCCCGCCGTGTATACGATTTCCTCCTCATGACTACGGTAACGCACATCTAGGGACAGCCATTATCCGTCGAACCATGTGGCAGATCGCGCTGTGTTTTGTTGGACCGCGTTATCGCCCCCTTGGAGATGCTCGGGCAGTGCTGCCAAGATAACTGTCGATCCCCCAGTCGATCTTCGCGTCTGGACCTGCGGCTTCGTGGCAGGTCCCCAACCCCGCGTCGCGCCCTCGTTATTGGTGCCTGCCTATCATGGACTGAAGCGGAGATGTGCTGGATATCGGACAAGTCTGCCTTACCTCTTGGCAGTTGTGGGTTGATCACCAAGTGTTGATTACTGGCACACAAAACTCAATGCCATGATGGTGTCTCGGGCAGTGCAGCACCGGTTCTCCCACGACTTTAAAGGATACGATGATGCCAAGATGCGTTGATGTGTATCGTGACAGGTGATAGGAGCAGTTGAAAGAAGCGGTGACCAATTGGCCATCCCCAAGTCTTGATCATGGCCATCTGATGAAGGCAGTTTGCAGATATTCTACACGGAGGAGGGCGCGTCCAGCGGCTAACTCCTAAAAAAAGCATCAAACTCCCCAGTCTAATGGTATCATCGGTTCGTGTTGTACAATTCTGCCCTGGTTCCTTTTTCTTCCGATACTGACAAAGAGAACCTGCCAGTGAAGTCCCTAGATGACCTCAGCCCTCTCGTACCCAGCCGGCTTGAGAGCTGCTGCCGGCTTGTGACCGTCTTTGTACTCGCTGGTGAAGGGATTTGGGTCCTCATTCTGGTTGAGGTTACTCAACGTGTGGTTGACGCCGCGGTGAACAGCCTCTGCCAATATTGTTGTCAGTAAGAGATTCGCGAAGACCGCTGCCCCAAGAAAAAGTACTGACCATCAGCTCTGATGTATAGTATGAGATCACGCATCGTTCTCTTCCCCTCCGGAATGTTCCAATACTGCACTGCCAGGTCGGGAATGTTAAAGTTGGGATCCGACCACTTGGGCAGTTGGCCTTCCTCGATCTCGCGGATGCAGCGCGAGTACGTGTGCACGGCCTCCTCCTCGAGGTAGCCGACGAAGCGATGCGTGATTTTGGGCGAGACGAGATACGACAAGAACATGCCGTTGAAGAAGACGCCCTGAGCACCGATGAGCATGACCTTCATGAACCAGCCCGGCTCCGACATCTTCATAAAGGTCAGCAGATGCATGCGCTCATTGTAAGACTCCTCGAGCAGCGTCTCGATCCAGCCGTTGTCGCGCTTCATGCGACGAAGGCTGCCGAGATGGCGGAGCATGCCAGCGACCATGCCTGGGACTGTTTGGTTGGACGTTAGCCGATGGTGGTTCAATGCTATACTAATAAGGTGAAGGGATTCCGTACCTCCTGCTATGCTCTCCAGGAAGATGAAGCGTACGAGCCACTGTGCCTCTGTCAAGGGCTCATTGGCCACCACGGCGGTGGTGGGATTCTTCTTGTCAACCTGCTGCTCAGGCTTCAAGCCCGTTGCGCGGTCCATCGTCCACCTGGCGACGCGCACAAACTTCCACGCAGCCCAGTCGCCCCAGGTCTCGGGGACGCGGTGGCCCGGCACGACGGCGAGCATGTCGGCCTCGGAGTAACCCTCGTGCGGCCATGCCGGCGCCGTCTTGCGGATCTGTTCCGTCTCCTTGGCTGGGAAGAAGTCACGGAGGCGGGAGGCTGGGGTGCTCGAAAAGTTGCGCTGGGAGGACGGGCGGTAGAGAGTCGTCGTTCGCAGGGTTGCTGGGTGGCCGAGGATGGAGATATGGCCGCTGCTGGACAAGGCTACAACTCTTGCGAGTTGGGCCGCTTGCCGAGGGGCACAGAGCTTGGTGGATGTTCTTGCTGAGAGCATGAGTGTTGGTGTTGACACAGGATGGGACGTAGTATGTGTCGTACAGGTAAGATGGGTAGTCAATGACGATATTGAATGATGATGTAAGTCTTGATGGTGTACGACAGTCCAGACAGCACGATGCCCGAGGAGGCTCAACGACTTATATACGGCGCCCGCGCCATCACCGTAGAAAGCCTGTGTCCTACCCAAGATGGATAGACTGCAAGGCCACACAGGTCATGAGGCTCCTTCGACCACACAACCCAGGAACGCGGGCACGAAGAACGGCCGGGTCTGCCATTCTGACGCAAATTGAGATTTTTCTCCTGTCAAACCCCGAGATGGAGCCCCAAAGACCATGGCCTCGATACGAGCTGAGCACGGGAACAACCACCATGGCATTTGGCAGTCGCCGTCCAAGGGTTTCGTGGCAGTCGCCGTATTGGGAAGTATGCGACGAATGACTCTTGTTTCCTGTCGGGACGTGTCGGGACAGCCTGTCACAGAGAGGGAGGCTTCCGGGCTATTTTCGTGCTGGTCGCGCGACCGCGCATGGCGCTCCTCCTTCTCCTGGTGGATGCGCCTGGCATGTGTCATTTTTCGCTGACCTGATCGAGGCGCCCCGGGCCTCTTCGGGGTTTGATGACGGGCGCACGACGCCGCCAAGTGGATGGTTATTCAGCGCAAACGGGAGCAGTCGTGTCACTGCTTTCTAGAGGCTCTTGGCTCCGCGGCGGTTCGGGATGGCGGGAATAAACACATACGCTGCACGGCCTCGAAAATGAAGCGGCCTTGGGTGTACCTGGCCTCACGGGTCGTCAATCCATATTGGTTGGCTGTACTTTCGCGAGGAACGAGGAGCGATGCGAAGAGCATTTCCGGTCATCATGCAGTGAGAGTGAGGCTGAAGCAAAGTACGAGATCAGCTCCATGTCATCTTTCCTGTCAGTCGACATCATCTTTCCGGTCAGCATAGTGAGTTGGCCGTGTCTCAGAGCGTTCACCGCGATCACATGTACAACCTTCTTCGCTGTGGTCCGCAGACCAAGAGCAATGAAAGCGGAAAATGTCCATCGAGAGAAACGTGTCAAAAATTCCCTAGCCAGCCGAAGCCAACTAGGAGTGGTCATAGGTTATAGTTTTCAACTAGCAAAAACACGATCTCGGACGAATCCTCACTGATACGCGTAAAGCCCTTGCACTCAGATAAAGAAGAGAAAGAGGAAAAGAAGGGCAAGAAGAGGTGGGGTGACCAGAGCAATTTATAGATGAGATGGGGTCCTGCAGCTAAGGCGCTCAACGCAATCAGCGAGTTGTGGAGCGGAAGGTCCGAGCTTGCATCAGTGAGTCACTGCGCTGTAGTTACATAGTACAGGCGTGGGATTTGGCCTCACGGGGGAGGCTTAGGCAGCAACACAGGCTGATTGGGCTTTGTGGTCGAGTTCGATAGGGCTATACACTCTGGCTGTTGAAGAACAACGCTTCACTGACTGCAGGGGTGGTCACCGAGTCGAAAACACCACGATCTTCGTGATGCCCTCACAACCCGCCGTTGGGGATTGGCCTCAAAAGGCCTTCATGCGAACACGTTCCATTCCCTTCCTTCATCCCGCACAACTGGTCGGCGAAAGCGGCCCCCCCATGCAAGCAATCGAGCGCAAGCGTGCCTGGCCCGGTGGAGCTCGGCCACCTACCTTGCTGCAGCAGCCCGCCAGTGCACGCGCGCACAAACAAACCTAGCCCAGAGGCACATGCAAACCTGTCATTGTGCAGGGGGAGCGAAAAAAACCAGGACACTGTTGATCGAGGGGTTGGAGGGGTCATCAGCCCAGCCGAGGTGACGTAGTTTAGCTGTCGAAAGGGAACCGTGCCTCCGTCCAAACTCGAAGAATCCCCCGTGCGGGCCTTTTGCGCGCCTTTCCCACCCCGAGTGAGGGGCAGGTGCATTATTGTTTCTTTTGGTGGTGATGCATTTTCAAATCGCCCTACTTCATTTTCTCGTCGTACTTCGAGACCGTGGTGGTTGGTCAGGTCATGCTGGCAGGTCAACGTGCGGTTTGGTGTGGTGGACGTCGATCAGAGGCATGGGTACGGACGGCATGGGCATCTGCATTTCTTCGCTTCGGGCAGTTGGTACTGTACATGTAAAGCCAGTGCTGGCTGTGCCATGTGTCGTGTTCAACCTCGAGCATAGGCGTATCATTGTACAGACTTTAGGCACAGAATGGGAGACACAATGACGGCAAGGGGAAGGAATATCTGGTCGGAAAGTGAAACCTGTCGATGAACCCCCGATCGCTTGTTGGTCTCGTTGACGCGCACTCACATCAGCAGGAAATTGCTTTGCTTCAGCTGCAGCTGCAGCAGTCACAGTCGCGTCGCAACCGAAACCAGGCAAGGGCACATGGCCATTTAGGCCAGGGTAGGCAAGGCAGTCACAGTTACTGCCCTGAATTTGGGGGTCGCGCCTTCCGACTCGTTCCCGTCCGTCGCCTGTCGCCCGTCGCCCGCCTGCCTTTTGTCCAAGCCTAGCCCGGACGGACCCTCCCTGCCCAAACGCCCCTTCCCGCCCGCCTACGCTCTCCGCCCCCTTTCGCCTTTTGAACGCCAAAACCTAAGTTTCGCCCTCTCTCCCAACTTTTTTCCCCTCCAACCTCAAAGGAAATTTCGCCCTCGATACTATTCCTGCCTCACCAGAACCCTCTTGTCACCAAAGACACCCATACTCGACACACTCTCGCAAACTACACAAACCAAACCTGACATCATGCCTGCCAGACAGTGGGGTAAGTCCATCACCACCGGCTTTGCGCGCGCGCACACAAATCCAGACGGTCCGCGGCAAAATGTCGTTTTTCTCCTTGCCAAGCAGATCCCGAGCCATACACAACCGCGATGCGCTCGCGAGACCTTGATTGCATCAAGGACCTGGCTAACCACCATTTGCCCCTCACAGAAGACGAGGAGAGCGACAGCAGCGCCAGCGGCTCTGCCTCCCCCGTTGCCGGTGCCACCCGCCGCAAGTTCGATGATGAGGAGGGTGAGGACAGTGACGTATGAGCCACTCTTTGACGCTCCGCTAAGGCCTCCAAACTGACATGGGATACCAGGTCCTCGAGTCTTGGGATGCTGCCGAAGACTCCGAAGTAGAGCGCGAGAAGGCGAAGAAGGCCGAAGCCGCCAAGCTCGCCGCCGAGGCTGAGGCCAAAGCCAACAAGAAGTCTAAGGCGCAGCGCATCAAGGAGCGCCAGGAGGCTCGCGCCGCCGAGCTCGCCGCTGAGGGCGAATCTAGCGACGAGGAGACTGAAGCCCAGAAGCGTGAGCGTCTTCGCCGTACCGAGAAGGACTCCGACATGAAGCACGCCCAGGACCTCTTCGGCGACGTCGGTACCGTCCCCGCCGGCCGTAAGGCCACCACTGCCGGGGCCGCTGTTGCTCTTGATGCCAGCGACCCTACCCGCACCGTCAACATTGCCGACCTGCCCCTCTTCAAGCCTACCACCAAGACCCAGTTCGAGAACCTCCGCAACACCCTCGTGCCCATCATCGGCGCCCACTCCAAGAAGGCCCACTACGCCATCTTCCTCCAGGAATTTGCTAAGCAGCTGGCCAAGGATCTTCCTAGCGATCAAGTCAAGAAGGTCGCCTCCACTCTCACTGCCCTCAGCAACGAGAGGATGAAGGAGGAGAAGGCTGCCCAGGGCGGCGGCAAGAAGACCAAGGCCTCCAAGAACAAGACGTCTCTTGTCGCCAACCGTGCTGATGTCATTGACACCAAGACTTACGAGGACGATGGCTTCGGAGAGTACGTCACCCCCAGGAACATGCTTTTTTTTGGTCGGAAACCTTCACGTGCTAACCCTCATTGTCAGTGATGATTTCATGTGAAAGGGTTGTTCAAGTTCTCAGAACTTCTCCTCCCTCGTCGGCGCCCTGCTCCGAGCACCTCCCCCTGTACGACTCGCAGCTCTGCCTACCCGCTGCGCGCTTCGTACGACGCCACATCAAGCATCAAGCGACTCAATCAAAACCGCCGACACTCCGGCGTCGCTGCCCACGTGAGCATCCTCTCCCGCGCCATGCTGAGAGGAAGGAGAATAAGGAGGTCTGGACTTCGCCAGGGGCCAGAGGACGTCGGTGGATGAACGCGGGAGTCGTTCACCAGTTAGTCGTTCCGTAACGGCGGCGGCAGCACCAGTAGCAAGGGGGACATCCGAAGGGGTCGTCTAGTTAGTCCTTTTCACAGGCTCATGCGCCAAGTGGCGAGCATGATGGCCTAGGGCACTTTGTTTTACCCAAAAGTAATTGCGGGGGGGAACGCTGAGTATGGTTACGCAAGCTATGCTTATATGCCTGGTTATGACGAGATGGACAGTCTACAGAGTAGGGGTCTAAGCCAAAGATATGAATCGCTTTCATTGCTCTAAATGTGTGTGGACGACCGAGTGAAGTAGCAAAGATGGACTCGAAAACGCCGGGTCCAGAACCAATGACAGACCAAACTGGGATAGGGTATTTGTGTTGAATACTGCCATGGGCGAGACGAACAGACTGTTGCGAGACAAACAGACTGTTGCAGCACTGACAATTTTAGATTCAGAACCGTCTCAGCCGAAAGGTCACTTCAACAAGATTCACAACCAGCCACAGGTGTAAAGGGGTATCATTTGATATATTCCTGCCCCGCCTTGCCCTTCTCTCCCTATCTATCCATACACATCCAAATCATCAACGGCAAACGCGTACATGCCGGGATTTCACCACGTGCCCCCTTAAAACGAGAAGTCCAAAACGCCCCGAACCCCGAACCCCGGCCCCAGCAATGGTCTCGCCCCTAGTTCCGTTTCCTGTATCCTGTCGTGTATCCACGACTCGCACCCATGTGTACAACACGCAGTCGCTTGGAGAGGAGTGATGAAGAGAGAAATAAAAAGACGACATGATGACAACAGCGCAGCGGCTCGCCAAGTTGCGCAAAAAAAAGACGTAGTTATAGACAGTAGCAGCAGCAGCGGCAGCAGCTTCAGACAACATTCCCGGCCATGCCCATGAAGAGGGCATGCACGGCCAGGCTGAGTGTCCAGAAGCCGACCTTGCGGAACCGGCGGACGCGGCTCTGCTGGTTCTCGACGTCGCGGGCAAAGGCCTCGTACGTCTCGGCAGACAGGTCGTCCATGAGACCGCAGTCGAAGACGGTCCAAGAGCCGTCAAAGTCGGAGGCGCGCTTGACGATGCGGCAGGAGATGGGAATGTACGTCTTCTTGGCGTTGATGTAGGCGACGATGGGGCGGACGAGGGCCTGGTTGATGTAGGACATTTGGTTCGTGAAGAGGGGCACGGCGGCCTTGACGTCGTTCATGTGGATGCGGAGATCCATGATCAGGTAGCGGCGGTCGTCTTCTTCGGCTTCGCCGGCGTTCGCGGAGGACTGGTCCCCTGGCGTTGAGGAGTTGGTCGTGGCCATGTTGAACCACGAGCCGGTGCTGTTTTGGCTGTCGGCGGGTGTGAGGGGATCTGACGCAATGTCCTTCTGGAGCAGGCGCAGGCGGTTTGAGATGACAATCTCTTCGAGCTGGTCGTAAAAGTCAGACATGACTTTTGTGATACCCTCGTCGGCGTCGACCGGGAACATGACGTCAGCGACAATGTCGACATTGCCCTCGTAGATCCAGCCAAAGGGTCCGTCGACGCCACGGTTCAGGTGGTCGAGCTTCATGCCATCGATACGGAGACGGCTAAACTTTTTCCATACATTCTCGTCGCCCAGGCTCTCCACAAGGTCGCGGTTGTCGCCTGCCATGGCACCATGCACTTGTCGAGGGTGAATAGTGAACAGGGAGCCATCATACGATCCTGACATGTGCGTCGCAGAGAGGAAGTCGTAGAAGAGCCAACGTTTCCGAAGTTGCGGCAACTCAGCCGAGAAGATGCTCACAGAGAAGGGGCGGAACCCCCCTGGCTGATGAACCGTCACTAGGACGTCCTCGAGCTTGAACGAGTCGATTTCGAAATCGCCCGGTTGGTGCTCGTGTCGATAGGAGAGGGGGTCCACGGGCTCGTCGGACCAGTGAACTGATGTACGATCTACGACACCACGCACACCCTTTACCTCGACATCCTGGAGGAAGCCCTTGCCGTTCCACCACTTGAGGAAGGACAGCGTGACATTGACGTTGGCGATGGTTACGTCGAATTGCGTGTAGTTGCCGTCATCTTCAGGCGTCGCTTCGGCATCATGTTCGTGCTGACGTCCGGCGGCTGCGACCGCAGCAGCGCTGGTAGATGATCCCTTGCTCACAGAGGACTTGATCTGCCCGGGTCGTCGGGACACAAAGACGTTGCGGAAAGAGATGACGCCGTCGTTCCATTTGGGAACAATAGCCGACTCGAAGACGACCGTGACGCCGGCTGATTCGGTCAGGGAATCGCCTACCCAGCGAGCGAGAGTTTCTGCAGGCCATGTTAGTCATTGTGAGCTGTCCAATATGGAAGGCTTCGACGGCTTACCCTGAGCAACCACTGTATTAATAGACAGGATGCAAAGTGAGACAAAGGTCGTGGTACCGACGAGGATCCAGACCAGGTGCCCAAAGAGGAACCAGGAGACAAAGGCCCCCCACTCGTCAATATTCCAGGGTCGCATGCTCCTGATGGACGCCCACTTGAAGCGAACGCCGAATCGTTCCCAGAACCCATTAGCCGCGGCCAGCAGCTCCTCTCTCGTTGGCCTGTGCGGCATCTTGGGCATGTGTAGGTATTTCGACATGGTCGTAGCGATAGACTCGGGGTCATCATGATGGTGTTCGGGGTTGACCGGCTTATTGGGATCGGGCGGCTTGGGTGTATCGTGCTTCAAAGGCTGCGATGCGCCGCTTTTTTTGCTGTCGACGTCCTTACTGTCGCTCTTCGAGCTGCTGTACCTCTTGCCCTCGACGCGGGCGCCTCTCCTGGCGTCGGTATATAGACTCCTTCGCCATGCGAGGCGCGCGAGTTGCTGAATCTGGGCGTTTCTAGACAGCCCAGTCGATGGTGCCTCAGACACGACATTGCCAGGCGTTGCTACCGCGCCTGATGGAATAGAAGTGGAAGCATTGGTGGTCAGGCCGACTAGGAGCAGACCACTGCTCGTAAAACTTCTCTTCGTGAAGGCTCCGTTCGGACCGGACGACTGTGCAGAGGGGCGCTCGGTATGTATCGGTCGTCGACTCGAGTATTTAGGTGTGTGATTTGTTGCCTGGCCAGCACGGAAGCCAGCGACGGCGAGTCTCGCAGGGCTATGGAAGCACGGGGCTGGCAATGATGGTTCGAATACTGAAGCAAACAAGCGGCGCCCGAGAGGAACCGACAGCTTCGACATGTCTTCAGCGCATGACTTTATTTTTTTTCGTCTTCCGATCAAAAAATGCAACTCTGGAACGAATAGCGAAATGAAGCGAAGCCAGTGCCCCAGAATGAGGAAGTGAATCGTCTTAGAGGGAGGGCATAAGGATTGTGAGGGGGGTTTGCTCATGCAGATCCGGTTCCAAGCAGTCAGTCAGGTCAGGTAAGGTTAAGCGTCCATGACGCGCTACGGATGCAGCATGAAATGGCGAGCAAGGGCCTTGGTCTGGCGGTAGCATAGCAGGTAGGCACTGAATGGGGCGCTGCTGCCACATGAAAGTCTTTGCTAGCTCAGGCTTTTGCACCTTGGGGGCGCGGGTGTGGCTCGTGCACTCTTATCGATAGGGCGACACAAAATTTTGGGAATGCAGCGATAATCCCACAGCAGAGCGAGCAGAGATCTTGGGCCTCCACTAGACTTGGGCGGTCAGGGTCTGATCTAGCGTCTGCAATCACTCGACAACCCACGACGGCACACCTGCTCGCACCTACGACGACGACGACTGCAACTACGACGCATCAGACGAGCGACACTGACTGTTGACCCACGGCCCAAATACTCCCATCTCCCACAAACAGAACACCCCCTCCCTCCCCCGCCATCATGCCTGCGCCAACCGCCCTCAAGGTGGTCGACGATACCCCGCCATCGACCGTCCCTCTGCCCGAAGCCAACGACGAAGAACTCCTTCTCGACGCCCCCGACCTCCCCGCCGAAGGCGACCTGATTCTGCAAAAGGTTCCGAACGATGAGCACACAGTCGACATGATCATCGACGAGGAGAACCGCCCCCGCTTCGCTCCCGGCAACGACATTGTAAGATGCCTCCCACTGAACCCCATCTAACCAATCTCTGCCACCAGGCGCTGACCACGCCCTTTTTCACAGTCCACCTCCAAAGAAGTCCAGACACGCAAGGTCCCCATCCCGCCGCACCGCTTCACCCCTCTCAAGACCAACTGGATCAACATCTACACGCCCCTCGTCGACCACCTCAAGCTCCAGGTCCGCATGAACCCGCGCCGCAAGTCCGTCGAGCTCCGCACCTCCAAGCACACCCTCGACGACAGCGCCCTGCAAAAGGGCGAGGACTTTGTCCGCGCCTTCACCCTCGGCTTCGACGTCGACGACGCCATTGCCCTGCTGCGTCTCGACGACCTCTACAGTACGTGCCTCCGCCGCTCGGCCGTCCCGCCGATTTGTCCGGTTCTTCGCTAACAGTGTCCCTGCAGTCGAGACCTTTGAGATCAAGGACGTCAGGCAGGTCATGGGCGACAATGCCCAAACAAGAGCCGTCGCACGCATCGCCGGTTCCGGCGGCAAGGTCAAGGTACGTTCAGATATCCCAGAGAGCCAAGGAGACCGCTTCTGTCACAGAACCATGACCAGCAGCATTCTCTGCTGCGAGGGGATTAGGTCACGAAGCCAAAAAGAAGAATCAAGAAGGAAGAAAATGCTGACCGGATTACATAGTTTGCCATTGAAAACGCCTCGCGCACGCGCATCGTCCTCGCCGACACACGCATCCACATCCTCGGCTCATTCAAGAACATCGCGCTGGCCCGCGAGTCGATCGTCTCGCTCATCCTCGGCAAGCCGCCCTCCAAAGTCTACGGCAACCTACGGACCGTCGCGGCGCGGATGAAGGAGCGTTTCTAGGCTGGCTTCGTGGCCCACGACCCCCTTTACGTTTGCGTTGTTCTTTTGGGGGGAGGGGCCAGGGGAGAGGGGCCAAGGGAGGTCTTGGCTGAGAGGCCCACGCCGAGTAGACGAGAAGGATGACTATGATCTAGCAAGAGTATGCATGTCTGCTCGCTATTGCATGGAGGCACGAGATGGGTCCAGGATTGGCGTTGGGCGGGAACGGGAAATTTTCCCACTTCGTTTTTTTTTTGTGCTTTGATTTTCTTACTGCATGTAGAGCCACGGATAGGAAAAAAAGCTATCATGACAATGAACTATTCAACAATGCCTTTTCGTCGTATTCTGTGTTCAGTCTTTCCTCCTCAACCTTGTTCATTCGTCAAGACAGCCAACTCATCGATCACCGAAGTGAGTTCATCAAGTAATTGAAATCATCGACTTTTAATCATGATGCCTATGATGCAGCCTCTATACGTGCCTACCCCTAAAGACTCATACAAATCTCCGCCCGTCTTCCTCGGGGCAAGAAAAAATCAAGGCGAGGGGGGGGGGTTGGCAGAGAGAAAAAGGGGGAACCGGCGAGCCACCGCCCGGATGCCTCGCCTGCAACAAGTCCCCGCCCCCCGGCCACCGCGCCCCCCTGCCCTCATCTGAGTCGTGATAATTACGCCATGAATCCCGGTACGCAGCAAGCCAGAGCAGCGCAAACTTTACTCCTCCTCCTCCTCCTCCTCGGCGGCGCCCTCCTCTTCCTCTTCCTCATCGTCGAGGCTGCCGCTGGGGATCTGGTACAGACGCAGCATCGACTTGTTGGGGTCCTTGACGAGAATGTACTTGCCCTCCTCGCGCGCCAGAATCATGTCGGCGATGGTGCGGACGATACCCCAGCCGTTGGACAGCGAAAGGTTCATCTGCGAGGCAAAGTCGCGGGGCTTCCAGCCGACGACGCCGAGGATGACGTGCTTGTCGTTGGAGCGGGGGTTGACACGGGAGACGAAGCTGGAACGTATTAGTATGGTTTGAATATTCACAGACGAGGGGGGAAAAACTCACCCGAGCTTCATGACGTCGGACTTGGCGAGGATGCTCTGCACCGTCCACCTGGCCAGCTTGCAAGAATTGTTCTTCATCTCGGTGGCGACAACGGCACCGCGCTGGCTGACCAGCTTCTGGCGCCAATCGAGGGCGCCACCGCTGCCCTGTGCCTTCGAGTCGAACTCGTTGAGCGCCTTGACGGTCAGGTACTGGTCCTCGCCGGAGATGGCGTTCTTCTGGACGGCGTCGACCTCGGTCCTGACGATAAGGTGGACGGGCTCCTCGTCGCTGGTCGAAAGGTCGAAGCGGCGGTACTTGTAGGCCTTGGAGGCCGGAGGGTCGGTGTCCTCGGAGGCGTTGTAGAAGGGGTTGCTGTTGGGCATGTCGACCTTGCTGTTGCCCTCGAGCACGACCTGGTTGGCAAAGTTGTGGTTGATGTAGGTGGCCTCCTCAGCAAGGGCCGACGGCTGGTTGACAGTGTCCTTGCTGCCCTCCGAGGCCTCGAGGGGCGCATCGGCGGCGTTCTCGTTGACCGTGACCATGTCAAGCGCGGCGTTATCACGCTTGTCAAGGAAGATCTTGTTGCCCTGGCGGACAATGACAACGTCCCACGAGTAGACGGAGCGCGGCGCGCACATGATCATGGAGAGAATGCTGTCGGTGGCGAAGATCTGAGCCTCGTCCTTCTCGGCGAGCTCCTGGATGACGGGGTCCGACGAAGTCGTGACGTTGTAGGCGGCACGGTCGATGGCCGTGAGCTTCTTCTCGGCGTTCTTGACCGGCGCCTTGTCGTAGGAGCGGTCGTAGTAGTAGAGGAAGGCCCGTAGCTGTCGACATCTCTCCACCCCTCGTCCGTCTCGAAGGTTGAGCTTGGCCCAGGCGGTTGAAAGTCAATCTTCCTCGAGCATCTTCCAGTCAGGGCGAATGTTGATGGAAGCGTCACGGTTGCGGGCAGGCTTGTCGTAGTCCTTCCAGCCGAAGCGACGGCCACCGCGGCCGCCAGCACCACCTCGTCCGCCGCGCGAGTCGAAGCCTCCGTAGCCGCCACGGCCACCTGCCGCACCGCCGCGGGTTGCCGTTGTGCGTCCACCGCGGGCATCACCACGGCCGCCACGAGCGCCGCCGCGGCCGCCGCGAGTGAAGACGGCACCACGACCGTACCTGGTCTTGGTGCTGTCGCGTGTGTTGCTGACGACGGAGAAAGATGACTCGTCTTCGGCGGGAGGGGCGTTGAAGGTGACGGCGTGGCTCGCGCCGTACACTTGTTGGTCTGGAGACTGGTCAGCGGTCTGCTGTGGGGTGGTGGTGTAGATTTATTGATCATGTTTCCATGCTGCTTACCCCTGTAGTTTCTGTTGTACTGCTGCCTTCCACCACGGCCGTCCTGGCCCTTGCCGTCGGCAGTCCAGTCGGCCATGCGGCCCAGCTTGTCGCCCTTGGAGAAGGGCGCATAGGGGACGCCGTTCAGCGTGGTGTCGCTGGTGACGGAGGGGCCCCAGCCATCGCCGGCGGGGCAGTTCTCGACGAGGGTAACCCAGTCGACGTTCTGCGCCATGATGACCTTATCCACGGGGGTGATTTGGAGATGGGATACGGTCGGTTCGGTGGTGGGTGTGCAGGTTCTCGGAAAGTCGGACGTTCGTCGTGGCGGCCCCTCGTCGACGATTTTCGCAGTTCTCAGTTCTTTTGGTGGGGTGAGCTTTGTGGGGCAGGGGCGGGCAGCCGGGCAAGTGAGAGCGCCTTCTTGCGCACCTGCGCACCTTCCTGTGCACCTTGCTGCGGAGTCAGGCCTCAAAGGGTATGCGCCTGGTGGCAGCCGGCGGCAGCTGCACGCTGTTTGCACTCTAGCATTTCCAGATTCCCCGTCAATACCATTTCATACGACGGCATACACGGGTTTTATTCGTCGAATATTCATCTTTACGTAGCATTTTCATAAATCAGTACACCATGTCATCTCAAGATTTCCGACGCTACATCCCTGTCGTAACTTCGTATCTTCGTGGCACAAATGCCTCCCCAGCCACTCGTGCCCATCCATCCTCACCCCTCAAGGGTAAGCTCCCATGGCATTCTCCAAAGCATCTCTGATTTCAAACTCCTCCAAAACAGCGCCGAACCTGGAAGAAGTCAGCAACAGTTCCAGAACTTGAAAAAAGAAAAACAAAAGAAAGAAAAAAGACCACACACTCACCCGTAACACCGAATCTTGGTACTCAGCTCCTCCGTCAGCTTGGCAAAGTCCTCGGCCTTCATCTCATAAAACCTCGAGTGCGCCATGACCATGCCCCACGCCATGACGGGAGTGATCTCGCCATCGAGATTGAGCCTCTTGCTGAGGGCGAGCAGCGTCCCGAGATCCGCCTTGGACAGCTCCCACGTCCTCTGGCCCGAGTTGAGATCACCGTTGACGTGGGCGTAGCCAAAGGGAATGTCGGGCGTCAGCTCAGGGAATGGCTCGGGGGGGCACGAGGCCATGAGGGCATGGCCACAGGGCTCGCCGCCCATCTCGCTCGATCGCTCGAGCAGCCAGGGCATGTGGTTCATGCAGGGCTTCTCTAGTCTGTGGTCCGGAACGACACTTTGTCAGCCAAAACAGCTCCTCTCAACGAACGTCATGGGCCTGGCCGTACCACGCAACTGGCGAATACGGCTGCCGCTGACTCCGTCGTCACAGGGAAGCTTCATCACGGCCGGGGAGGTGAAAGGTAGGCTTTTGAGGGGTGATCGTACGTTAAGACGAAGTCAATGCCCGCTTGCTCATAATCCACGCCATTGACGCCGTAATGTCCCGGCAGGTGTTGGGACGTGCCATGTTGAGGATGCTGTTGTTGCTGCTGGCCGCTGGGCGTGTTGCCATGGGAGCTGCCACTGTTGGGCGCGTACGAAGGCGACACGGAGGCGGTCGTGGATTTCGACGTCAGGGGCGGGGTGAAAACTGAGCGAGAGCCGTGAGTATGGCTGTAGCCGGAGGGGCTCGCGCTGGCAGTGTAGCCGCCGCTGGGGTTACTGACGGTGTCGTCGAGGCCGACGCTGCTGAGCGGTATGCCGTGCTGGGTCAGGAGCTGCCTGAGTTGCTTGTTCTCTTCTGCGACCTTGTCCTTGTCCTGCGACATGTTGCTGAAGACCTCCTTGAGCCGCAGGACCTCGTCCTCGAGCGCCTTGATGTAGAGCTCTTTCCTCTCGCGGTGTGTTCTGTTACGACTGATAAGCTTCGGCGCTTGTCATGACAGCGCTGCGTTAGGCAACGGTGACGATGACGGTGACGAAGACTTACCGCTGTGCTTGTCTGTTGAGCTCCTGCCGCCTGGTCATGGCGGGTTTGCTGTCAGGCTTCGGCCCCCGGCGCTTGGGCGGCTGGCCATCTACAAACCGTGTCAGTAGCGAAAAAGGACGTATCGGCCGAAGCGGAAGGTACCTCGTGTCGCCTTCTTCTCGGTAAGGCCCTTGAGGAACCCGAGGTTCAGGTTGGACAACGGGCCGTTGTCCTGCTCGGCACTGCTCGAGCGAGCATGGCTCGCCGAGCCCTGTTGGTCCGACGGCAGGGACGACGCCATGGATACGAATCGTCTGACGGAAAGGCAGGATGGACAGTGCAATGGCGCAGGACTGTTGGCGATGTCGGATCAGTTTCCCCGACCAAAAGTTTGAAAACTGGCAGCAGCCGGGAGCGGGGACAAATATCTGTTGCATACACCTCAAGAGAAATTCAGGTGGTCTTGCGACGGGCGCCGAGCGCAATGGGGCAAGAGCATGCGGGCTTGCTCTTCAGCGACAGGCGACAGGCGACAGGCGACAGGCTTGGGGTATGCGTAGGTAGGCGATCCAGAACGGTGGTAGTGGTGGTGTAGTCGTCGAAAAGAAGCGTAGCGATGAGCAACGGACGCGAGCGGAGCTCTGGGACATGCGATGGCGACGATGGCGGAATGGAGGGGCGCCAATTGACGAGATACCAAAGCGAGGTTACAACCAGCCCACCCTGCAGTGCGCCTGACGTGACGGGAGTTGCTGATGAACAGGTTCCGGGGGGCGGGACTTGAAACAACGCCTCGGTCTCAGACGATGCACAACACAATCAGACTGAGCTGACGGGTGTGGGTGAGAGGTATTACTGGAGATGCTCAGACGAAGTGTCAAAAATTCGGGTTGCCCAGAAAGCCTGCGACTTTGCTTGTTTGCATTGGCGATTCAGGTTTTGTCGATGGAAGCATGGACCACGAGCATGGTAGGCAGGTCTGATGGAAGGAAATAGGGTCGTCAGCATTGAGGCTAGGGGACGATGACTGATGATGGGATGTACCCGAGCTAGGTACGAGAACTGAGAGCGTGACGCTACCTAAGATTCCTCGACTACTACCTTAGGTAGTACAGCAAGTACCTGACTGAAGTACGGAGGCTTAGGACGGTAGTGATACCCCTGGGGTCTTAGCCAGTTAGCACCCTAGCACCACATGCGGCTGTCGAGAGTCGAAGAAGCCAATGGCGATGACGATGGGTTTGCGCTGGGCCGGCGCTTGCTGAATTGTCTTGGTGACCAAGATGACGTTCGGCGGCCGAGGTTCGTCGGGCACTATCTGGTCGATTTGTGTACCAGCAAGCTACAGATGCCGGCCTCTCGGGGCTCTGCAGGCATTGACAGGACTCGATCGCCTGCAGCTGGGCGCTGTGCTGTTCGGGGTTTGCGCACTCTGTGCATGTGCCTCACATGTTAGCGGGCAGGCTGACGGCCATCTTTAGTCAGCACCATCGACCCGAGAGAAGGTGCTTCAGGGCTTGGCTGTACCTGCCTCTCCCACCTTGTCTGAGCGTAGCCCATCGGACTGTTTGTTCCATCAACTCCATCAAGTCTTTTTCGACTACCATCGTCAGTTTCCCTCAGCCTGAACTCGACATCACTGGTCTCGCCATCTCAAAAAGACAGAGCCCTGCTATCATTTTGTTTTGGTCCCTTGTACGGGAAAATTGATCGACACCAGGTCCGAGCGCTTCCACGGCTTGTCTCAAAGCAGAAATGTCAGCCTAATACTAATGGAAGCTACCCAGCCCTAACCAGACACAGGCCCTGTACCAGTACCGACTGTACTGTACTGTCACGGCCCATGTCCTCTCTCTAACCGGATCCACGGCAGACGCTGTCAGAAGCGTTCATGGAGAAAATACCGCCCGCCCCTCCCTCGGCTCCGTCGGTCAGTCAACATGGTGTCTTGAAGATAAGTCGTCGTCATAGACGGATTCGTCCGTTGCACGCGACCCTCTTGAGCGCCCAGAAAAGTCATGGCCCGCCGCCATGAGGTGCTTCCCGCTTCCCGCTTGGGACACACCGACTCGCGCTGATTTGGCTCGCTGCCGGCGGTGCGCCTTCGAGCGAGCGCCCATGAGGGAGGGTCTCGGACTTCGGGTCTTGTTTCGATCTTCTATGGATGCGCAGGCTACCTAGACAAGACTGAATTTCCATCTGCCGCCAGCCAGCATGCACCGCATTCTGAAGCTTGGACGCCAGCTGTGCGGGGACAAAGCTTGCTTGCCTGCCACTTCTCGACGCTTCACCCACGAGAGGCTCTCTTGCGACAGCCATGTTCCCGTAGTCTCTTCCATGGTAGCGAAGCTCACCTTGCCCTTGACCTGACCTGACGCACAAAACACCGACCGCGCCCCGTCTCCCTTCCCGTCATGGCCGGCCACGGGTCTGCGCTCACCCACATTCGCGGCGCCGTCATCCTGGCACCGTGGCTCATCTTCCTCCTTCTCGCCGACCTGGCCCTCTCCCTGCAGCTCCCTTTCAAGATCCTCTTCCCCAACCTGGTCTACAACTCGTCGTCCCGCATCGCCGAGCCCGTCTGGTACTGGATCCAAATCATCTTTGAGCGCTTCAACGGCGCCAAAATCACCTTCTCCGGCGATGCGCTGCCCGCCGGCGAGTCGGCCATCGTCGTGGCCAACCACTGCGCCTGGGCCGACTTTTACATGATACAGGCCCTCGCCGTCCGCGCCGGCATGCTCAGCCGATGCCGCTACTTCGCCAAGATTCAGCTGCGCATCGTGCCCTTCCTCGGCTGGGGCCTCTGGGCCATGGGCATGCCCATGGTGAGCCGCAATTGGGCCAAGGACAAGCATGAGCTCGATCGTGTCTTCGCCGGCATCGTCCAGCGCCAGTGGCCGACGTGTGAGTGAGCCCGTGGCGGCCGAGTAAGCCGGGAAGCAGAGAGGGGCGTATACTGACACCGTGCACAGGGCTCGTCAGCTTCAGCGAGGCGACGCGCTTCACCAAGAAAAAGTACGAGCAGTCCATCGCCTGGTGCAAGGAGGCCGGTCGCCCGCAGCCCAAGCACCTCCTCTACCCGCGCACCAAAGGCTTCATCACGACGGTGCAGCACCTGCGCCAGGCGCCGCACGTCAAGGCCGTGTACGACCTCACTATTGCCTACCAGCACGGCGACGAGTGGCACGCCGAGCCGACCATGTGGGACACCCTCAGCGTGCCCGGGCTGAGCGACCGCCTGGGCTACCATTTCCACGTGCACGTACGGCGCTTTCCACTCGAGTCGCTGCCGGAGAAGGACGAGGATCTGGCCAAGTGGCTGGAGGAGCGGTGGGTTGAGAAGGGAGAGTGGCTCGAGGAGAAGAGGGTTGAGTGGGCAGCGACGGAGGCGTGATCGAGCTCGATACTTCAGGGATGGTCAGTGGAGTGGCATGGTCTCTGTCCAGCAGAACGCGGATTTTTCTTGTCGAATAGATGGTCTTGAATCAATTTCTGGAACGCATGGGACGGCAACATTGGGAGGACCTAGGGAAAGTGACGTGGTGTCTTGATCCTCGACAGGTGTTCTGAAAGTGCCTGTAGAGAGCAGACTCCCAATGAACCAGCAAAAAAAGTATGGTCAATCAAGTCACCACAATCCGGTAGGATGAATATGGTGTGGGGTGAAGTATGGCAAAATAGATCAAAAATATACATTGAAGATACGGTGTTTGCGCCGTACGTGAATCGAACACGTCTCTCATGCTAACGCTGATGGAAGGCAGGAATCATAACCACTAGACCAACGGCGCTTGTTGTGGTAGACAGTTGCTAACCAACACATCATAACCTGCACGCGGGGCTGACGTGACTTGTAATATGACCTGCGACGAGGATCATCCTTTGTTAAACAGTATGTTTCCTCGAAATCGTAGTATCTTCTTTTCTTCTGCAAAACAATTCATTTGAGCTGTCAGGGTGTGCAGCGCAAGCGATCATCTCTTGTTACTGCAAGGGGTAATGCCGCGAACAAAGTATTGGATGACAGGTCAATTGGCCTCGAATGAAATTCAAAGTCGCGATTTAAGCACCTTTCATTCAGATTCGCATGACGTACGTCTGTCTGGTTATTTTCAAACGTATCCTGTAGTCAAGAGCTCTTCCTCCATACTGGGCATTTGTATCAGCGACTAGAAAAGAGCCACCTTCAGTGGCCTGACCGGCGCTCGTCTTCATCGTCACTCTGCAGGATGAAATCCCACGTGAAGCAAAGTACACACAAAGCAAAGCGAGGCATGCCGACTTGAGCATGTCACTGCCTCACACGACTGCAAGCCCATCGACACATGCATTCTCTAGATACTCTCTCCCGCCCGACATGCCTCCCAACTCACCAAGTCAGTCACACGCCCGAAACAAGGAAAAGCACCGCTCTCCGCTACCACCACCGCCCCGCGACGAACCCAACCGCGAACCCGACACCAAGCACCACGGCAACCACGCCCGTCGTCCCCCTGGCCCCCAATCCCGACACGTCATGCCCCAACCCATCGATCCAGCGCCGCCGCAGCCTCAGCACGCCGATCCGCATGAAGAACATCTCTTGCACGTCCACGGCGCTGCCCTGCGCCGGCATCCCCAGCTCCGTGGAGCTCCTCTTCCTCGGCGTCTTGGACTCGACACTTTTACTGCCTATCAGCTCGTCAGCACCAGGTCGCGAAAGCAGGATGCGAGCACAAGGCTGGGCAGGACACGACAACGAGGGCCATTCAAGGAAACGAAAGAAGCGTACCAAGTGACAAGGAAAGAGACATGACATGAAAACAAAGGGGGGGAAAAAGGGGAAAAGGAAAAACTCACAGAAGCGTCAGGCTGACATCTCCCTGCAACCTCGCCTTCAGCTCCAGCTCGACATCCAAGTTCAGCCCCAGCTGCAGCCTGACGGGCTTCGTCTCGGCCAGGCGCGGCAGGATGCCCGGGCCCTCGAGGCCGGCCTGCCCCTTGGCGGCGAGGGCCTTGTTGTTGTTGCGCGAGCGGCGGCGGCGGCGACCGCGCGAGTCGTCGAGCTGCCGGCGGAGGTCAGCGAGGAGGTCCTCCTTGGAGGAGGCCGCGGGACGGCTTCCGCCGCCCGCGCCGGCTTGGAAGAGGCCGGAGGGGGGCAGGGGGGGCGAGGAGGTGGATACCTTGGGCATGGTGGGGTTGACGGAGGCCATGTTTGGGGCTGGGCGTTTGCGGAGCGTCGGGTGATGGACTTGAACGTTGCCGCGGTCTGCGTCGTCGTGGTAGGAGGGCGGAGGAGAGCGCGGAGTCTTGGGTTGGGAGAAGGTGAGGGTCGTCAGAGACTGGATGAAGGTCCTTGTTGAGGACTCGTAGAGAACGGGCGGCTTTCGTTTGCGCGAGAGGCGAACGAGGCGGAGCGGCTTCGGTTGGGGGACTGAAGGAGATGGGTGAAAGCCTTTGGTGGGCTTGCCGTTTGCCGGATAGTACGGGGGCGGCTGGACGAGATAGGAGCCGGTGGTAGGGACAGAGCGCGGGACCGAACGTGGGGCGGAGGCTGTCTGTTGCTGTTGCTGTTGCTGTGCCGGCGGCGGTGGCGCGGATCCTGAGACGACTTGAAGCTCAAAGGTCTTCTCACTGAGTTCGGGGCCGGTGTAATCGGGAAGGGTGCGGTCAACGGGTTCTTCGTTTGTGTTCTGGTCTGGTGTGACGGGGAAGACTGGAAAACAAAAGCACAGAGAACTGAAAAGTGACTGATCCACGCCGGCACTGCTGGCGATAAGATGAGAGAAAGAAGGGAAACGCGCTGCCGGAGGCGGAAGAGACTCTAGAGTCTGGATGTGTGTGTGAGTGAAGGGATTGCGAAGAGAACCAGTCTGCCTGGAGAAAGACAAAAGAGATGAGATGAAGAGCATTAGATACTGCCCTATATACTTGCCATATCACAACCTTCGCATCGCCATCGAAGCACACCATGCTGCCGTCAACTTACAGGACGATGCATCACGTGGTGGCAGCCGTAGGGCCAGGGTTGCTTTGACATGGCATCTCAAGCGACCTTCTACTGAAAACATACGATGATCTCGACCCCTGAAACAGCAATGCAACCTCACAACTCTCCTGCCCTCAGCGTATCAAACAGGCCGAGATTGGCGATGGCCACTCCATCTGACCACAAATTCTGCCATCTAACCAGAACGGACGATGCTGGCCTGATCAAGTCGTCTCTGTCCTCGAGGGGCCCAAGCATAATCAATGATTCTTCAGCAGCAGTCTTACCATATGACAGGGTCCGTGGTCTGCGGCATACTGCTCCATACCTGATGCAACGGAGCAACGCAGTGTTCAATGTCTAGGCCTGTGAGATGCCATCGTAAGTTTGTATATTCCAGCACTGTTCTTCTGAAATGGGAACACTGCGACAGACCGGTTGAACGGGTCGTATTAAGGTAGTAAACTTCATGTATCTCGCCATGAGAAACCCTTCATTCGTGACAGGTCGGCGCCCTCTTTTGAAACCCAAAGAAATAAACATCCCCATATCCTTATAACGCCGTGCTGCACAGACAGTCGAAGCCTTATGCCACTTGCCACCTGCCTGCCGCAAGCCGAGTCAGGACAGCGTGCCGGATGCGCTGCTCCAATGGGGTACAGACGAGAGACCCGACAGGCATGGCAGTGATTGCCAAATGGACCTCTTCGATCATGTTCTAGACCCCCCTTTGTCGACCCTTTGCTTGTCAGACAGACCATTGCCCCAACACGAAGCAAACCATGCGAGACGCCGAAACCAACCTCGTCGAGGAAACGAAAATCAAAACACAAACGCCGACGCCATTCATAAGACAGGAAGCCAGCCGCCCAACGTTTTTCCTGACACAGCACCCTCACAAAACGTGAGGAAAGATGAGATCGTTCGTTGTTGAGATGGCCAACACCAGAAGACGGCCCCCATTCATGCGCTGAGGAGGTCCCGCACCGACATGCCACGCCCCGTGCCCTGGCTTTCCGTCACGCTGCTGCGACCATGTCCGCTTCCGATAGTGCCCCGGCGGTCGCTGTTAAGCATGAGCAGGGCTGCCGTCGCCTCCTGATCCAGATCGCGGTGCTCCCTTTGCGGCGCAAGGGCGGGGCTCGTCAGCGCCGATGGTGGCTGCGAGGGTCCACCCGCGCGACCGTAGTCATATATTTGGGGGCCGAACGCCGGTGATGTGGTGGCCGAAGAGGCGCTGTAGCTGTAGTGCCTGTGGTCGGTAGACGTCGACGAGTACGAGTGGTTTCGGTTCCTCGCGTCTTCGGCTAGCAGGGCAGGCGACACGGACGGCTGATGTGAGTGGGACGGCTGGGCAGCAAATGGAGGCGATGCGGCTTCGGAGCCGGTCATTTCAATATCGCCAGAAGGGTCCTCACGGTACGTTGGGGCAAATTGGGGGATGGATGCCCACAAGTCACGGCCACCTTCGGTAGGCGTCTGCATATCGGGCGCCTCTCGTTGCTCCTTGAGCTTGGACACACAGTCCTCGAGATATCTGACATACTCAATGGAAGCCTGGTGTTCGTCGTGTCAGTTGGAAAGTTCGCCAGCCTCGTCGCGTATCAGCGTGTGGGACTGACCTGGAGAATGGCCAACTTGTGCATCTCGCCCGTACACGCCGGGATCATGCCCTTCAACACGGCAAACTCCTCATTCATCTTGGACCTCCGACGGCGCTCGATCAGACTGTGTGCTGTCTTTCTCGCAATCTTCCGCCCGGCTGCGCTCGTCGCAGACGGCTGCTTCTTCTTCGACGCTGCCGCCGCAGTCCCATTTGATGCTGCAGCCTTGGAAGCTGTGGAGTTTTTGGCGGACGGTGAATCCTCTTCGGGCTCCTCCTGCTTCGGTTTCATCTGGATGATCTTTCGTGACCTAGTGGGTGGTGGGGGTAGTGTGAAGGCCTCCTTGGCGGCGGGTTTCTGAGCTGTCGAGGATGCACGGCGCCGCGACTTGACGGCCTCGGCGACCTGCATAGGATAGGAAGCCCGGCCAGACGAAACAGACGGTAAACTGGGTGGCGAAGTCCTCATGTCGGTGGGGGAGATGCTAGAGGGGTCACGAGCGATGGCGGGGGGAGGCAGCTCAAATGCCAGCTGGAGAGACGCCAGCTTTTTTGTGCCGTCCTTGCCCTCAATGTCGGTGGAGGAGGCTGGTGTCGGGGGAAGCGCTGGGCGCGGCATCTTGGTGTTGTCGCTGAAGCTGGCGTGTTGCGGTGCAGCAACACACGAGGGACTCGGGTGGTTGAGGAATATGCCAAGAGATATGGCCAAGAAAGAACCAGGAATCACGTTTCTCAACGACAGCTTGGTCGGATAGGACTTGGGGGCCGACACGATGTTGTAGGCGACCAGAGACGATGATTTTCGGACACCCTAGCAGCTCGAACAAAAAGAGACAGGGACAGAAAGAAGGACCAGCATGAGATCAAGAAGACGCCAGGGACAGAAACCACCCCGGGGGGGAGGGACGTCAAGATAGACCCCAGAGGCTCGCGGCGGACTGGCCCAGGACCACCACCGAGACGCATGCTCAGGCACGAGCACGCACGCACCGCACTCAAGGCCATGTACCCCCCCCTCAACGGATGGCCCAGACATGGTCCGGCGGCGATCTGCTTCGGTCGCCCATCAGGAATCAGGAAGGCACGCGACAACCTCCCACAACCAATCCCCAGCCCACACACCTCGACCGGGCTGCCAAAAACGACCATCAACCTCCCACGCGGGTCGGACCAATCAGGAGCCACGACCCGAGCACATGGGCTGCCCTGGAGCATCGATATGGTTCAAACGCAGTGCGCACCGCCCCCCTCCTCCCGCACCCTATCCCCGGGAGGGGGAGCAGCGGCCGTCGAGAGGTTTGAGCATGTGCTCGATGGGCTTTGTCCGGTTAGGGTCGTTTGGGCGGCATTGACTCGTTCGAGGGGAGGGGAGGGGAGAGCACTTGCCCTCGTGGGCGGGGATTGGGGTCTGCTTGGCGGGTTGGAGGGTCTCGGATCGTGCACGCCGCTAGGATGGAGTGATCTAGAGAGGATGTCGTGTGATGACTCGTGCTTGACGCGATAGGCTTTGTCGTATCGACGGTCGTCTTGATGGAATTGTTCCTGTTGCTGAGCAGAGCTGAGGATGATGATTTGATGGAGTTGTGTTTGAATAAGGAAAGGTGCGCTAGACGCGATAAATGGGGCCCCGAGTAGCTTCGTTCGATTGAAGCGATTGTCCAATGAGGAAACCCTCTCGTGCCCAGACCCCCAAATGCGGACTGGCGGCCTTGGATGACCCTGATGGATGGGCAAGGGGAAAAGGGAAAGGGCCAGGCATGGCAAGGGCAAGGTAAGGTAAGGGCAAGGTAAGGCAAGGGCCAGGCAGGGCAAGGCAAGGGCAAGGGACGGGGAGGCCGCCAAGACTTGTTCTGGCAGGTGGGATGGGCACGCAAATGAGGCAGGGACGGAGGAACCAGAGAACTGGAGGGACGAAGAAGGTCAGCAACGAGCAAGAGCCATCTTGGATGCACATGTCAACGAGGCTCGTGTTTTTCAATATCCCCTCTCCCGACTTCCATCGAAACTCATCATCACCACCATCCATGAATCCCCGTCAAAAACAAGGGTCACGGCACCGACTGCACACCCAAGGTAAACAGAATTGGTATCAATTGAGAGCTGACGCTCCAGGCAATCTCGGATCGTCCCATCCAGTACAAGTAAAATCCAATCGTAGCCCTGTCCGGGGCTGATAGCGCCATCCATACAAATCTCATCACCGCGTACATGGCTTTTTCGACGTGGCCCCGACTCTACGCTTCGTTGCTGGGGTATTCCACCTGCGTCGTCGCCACAAACTCCTCCTTAATGCTGCGCATGTTGACAAACCGCCCCATGAGGGCCGCGCTGCCCGCCTTGTCGTTGGTTCCGCTCGCGCGGCTGCCGCCAAACGGCTGCTGTCCCACGACGGCACCCGTGCTCTTGCAGTTGATGTAGAAGTTGCCTGCCGAGTTGCGCAGCTTCTCCTCGGCGAATCGAATCGCCTGACGGTCCGACGCGAAAACGGATCCCGTCAAGCCGTACTCGCCCGTCGAGTCGACAAGGTCGCACGTCTCCGAGAAGGCCTGCGTCGCGTTGCCGCTGTCGTCATACACGTGCACCACCAGCACCGGGCCAAACAGCTCCGTGCTCAAGAGCTTGTGCGCCTTGTTCGTCGTTGCGTACACCGTCGGCTGCACGAAAAAGCCCTTGGACTTGTCGTGTGTGCCGCCTACAAGCAGCTCGAGCTCCGAGTCATTCTTGGCGGCATCGATGACGCCAGACAGCTTCTTGAACGATGCCTCATGAATCACGGGGCCGAGGAAGTTGGTGTGTTCCGTGGGGTCGCCCTGCTTCAGCTTCTTGACCTCAGACACGACACGCGCCTTGAACTGGGGCCACAGCGACTTGGGCACATATGCGCGAGACGTGGCGCTGCACTTCTGTCCTTGGTACTCGAAAGCGCCGCGTACCGTCTGCAGCGCCGCATTGTCGACATCAGCAGACGGGTGCAGCAGGTGGAAGTTCTTGCCGCCCGTCTCGCCGACAATGCGCGGGTACGACTGGTACCGGCCCTCGGCCACGCCAGCCCCAATCTCGCCATACAGCTTGCGGAACACGGCGGTGCTGCCGGTGTAGTGCAGCGCCGCAAATTTCTTGTGTGCCAGTGCGACCTTGGTCACCTCGACTGGGTCACCTGGCACAAACTGAATGACATTCTTGGGAAGGCCGGCCTCGAGCAGGATCTGGTAGAGGAGCCAGTTGGACGCAATGGCCGAGTCGCTTGGCTTCCACACGACGACGTTGCCGAGCAGCGCCGGCGCGCCAGGCAGGTTTCCAGCAATGGCAGTGAAGTTGAAGGGGCTGACGGCGTAGACGAAGCCCTCGAGGGCGCGGTACTCGACGCGGTTCCAGACGCCCGTCGCGTGGTGCACCGGCTGCTGCGCGTACAGCTCCTCCGCGTACTGCACGTTGAAGCGCAGGAAGTCGACGAGCTCGGCGGCGGCGTCAATCTCGGCCTGCCATGCGTTCTTGCCCTGGCCGAGCATGGTCGCCGCCATGATGTCGTAGCGGTACTTGGTCGAGATGAGGTCGGCTGCCTTGAGGAAGACGGCGGCGCGGTCGGCAAAGGGAAGGGACTCCCACGCCGGCTTGGCGTCGAGCGCCGCGTCAATGGCCTTTGTGATGTCGCCGGCCGAGGCCTTGGAGTAGGTCGCCACGACTGAGGCGTGGTTCGCAGGGTTGACCTGTGTGCCCGTGGAGGACGTCTTGATCTGGCGGTGGCCGTTAGCTCGTCGTCAATTGGGGATGGTAGTCGTCGGCGTTTGGGCATGGGAACTCTTCGTCCTTACCTCTTTGCCTCCAATGACAATGGGCACCTCGAGAGGCAGCTTGTTCTGCAGCTTCTCGACGGCCGCCGTCAGACCCGCGCGCTGAGCAGACCCCTTGGCGTAGTGGTGGTTGGGTTCATTGACCACCTTGGGAATCTTGAACGAGGCGAACGTTGCCATCCTCTTGGTCGTCGTCGGCACGTTGAGACGTCTGGCAGAGGCAGCTGACGCATGTCCCAGCACGGAACGGGCGGACAAGCCGGTGAGCTGACCGGCCGCGCGACGAGCGTTCATGGCGGGCAACGATCGCTGCTTGACCACGAGAAGGCGGGAGCTGGCTTTGCAAGTTGGCGTCGGACTCGGCCGTGTGGTCCGGGGCGGGGACGAAGAGCGAGGAAGCGGAACGCGAGGTGGTGGTGTGTGAGGGTGAGCTCTCGGTGGTACACAGCGACACAGTGAAACGGAACGACCTGAAGCGGGATTGGATGTCTCGTGAACTCTACGAAGCAAACAAAATTGAAGGAGGAGGAGGAGGAAAGGTTCAAGTAGGAAGTCCCTGTGGAAGAAAAAAAAAAGAAGAAGAGGAAAGAAAAAACCCAGAGCTCTCCATCCTCCACCCCTCCCTCCCTCGTGACACCATACCGGCTGCGACAGCTCGCTTTATCGCGGCCCAGAGTAAGAGAGCTTTCGGACGACTCAGGTGGTTGGCCGTGACACGCCAATGACGAAGCTCTCGCCTCGGCAGGGGGGTCCGATCTGCGATAGCGAAGCGGGACCCTTTTTTTTTGGCGGTAGCTTTTTCTTATCCGGCCAATTATCTTACTTTGCACGGATTCGAGCTTCCCCTTGCGAGCAGTGATCTACCCCAGTTTTGGAGGAACGCTGACACGGGGGTGGCCAGTCGGCAGGTCGGCTGTCGGGGGCTTGATCCGGTCTCAGCAGGTTCAATTGCTCCGCATTGCGGTGGCGCTGCCCCAAGCAAAAAAAGTCGGATGGGCATTCCGACCCGATGGTGTCCTGGTGCTGGTAACAGCTCATATTATCACGGCCGATTTCGCTCCTGTTGACTGATTCATAGGAAAGGTAAAACTAGACAAAACAGAAAGTAAGAGTCGAGGTATCTCTGATGGTGCTGGAACAGGGTCCAACCTTCCAATAAACACACGGCCAAGACATGAAATGGTGCTCGTCTCAACTCATTACCGTGCACCTGATCCCGTCCTTTTCATCTCTCCCCTTCTTGTGCACATGGGTATAACAACTCCTGACCGCACACCTACCTAACGCGCCGTCATGCCCAGCTCTTCCACTAATGACTCCGGGGCCGGCTCCTCGAGGATGTCTCGGCAGAGTGCTCCTGTTGCGGGAACGGCGCCGCCGGCGTCACAGGCCGGGTGTAGTGCAGCAACGGCACGGTGAGGCCGTACCCGTCCGTCTTGCCTTCCTTGTCGTGCTGGTCGATTTCGACGCGGATAACAATGTCGAGACTGCCGTCGTTGAGTCGGCCATGTGCAGCCGACGCTGCTCGGTGCAGCGTACCCGCGTCCACCTCGCCGGGGTGCAAAAAGTCGTGGCCGCCCTTGCCGGAGAAATTGGTCCGGACCGAGCCGTTGGTCGTGCCGTTTGTCCCGTCATTCTCGGGCTCCGCGTTGACGGCCGGGTTGTTGGGCGAGTTCTCCGTGAGAATCGCAAAGTTGCGGCTGGGCATTGTGACCTTGTTGAAACCGGGCGTCTTGTTCGAATCGCCAGGGTTCTTGTTGAAGAAGGTGAGCAGCGTCTCGTCCGTGTCGTGGTTCAGATGATGGATCTTGTTGCGCTTGGCCAGCAGGTTCGCGACAGCCGTTGGAGGAGGCTTGTTGACAATGGCGGACGACACAACATTGGCCATGTAGCGGTGGTCATTATCCGTCGCAATACCCAGCTTGGGATGGGAGTAGAAGCGACCTAGCGCAGCAAGATGAACGTCTCCGCCAAGGATGGTGATGCGGACGGAGAACTCGGCCGCGATCTTCTGCAGCCGCTCGACAAGCGCCTGGCGCTCCCTCTTGTGCGTCCTTGCCGTGTAGTGGTCGTCGAGATCGTCGAGCAAGTCAATGCTGCCATCAAACTGATTGAACAGACCGCCAGCTGGAGGAGGAGTTAGCCACTTGTATTCTTGAAACAAGCACAGCTTTCAGACTTACCAACACCGAATCGCTTGTTCAGAAGCCTGACAGGGCCCATGAGGGGACTTCTGAACACGGTTTCCAGCCAGGTCAAGCGCTTTTCACGTTAGCTTCAGCGCGTCTTGCAATCGAAATCCCTCGACTCACAGGATACGCGATCGGGATACCAAGCAGCAGAATCAAGTGCTTAAAGGGCTGGCCCGCGTCGGCCGCAGCCTGCAGCTCCTGTCTCGTGCGTTCAAAGATCTGGTCGTACGTTTCGGGGTAGTTAATTTGATGACGAGTACGCTATTCTTGTCAGTGAACCCGCATTTGTCAGGCGACCCAGGACTCTTCATACCTCAGTTCTGGCATCAATGCCCACCATCGCCACTCGCGCACCGAGCTTGCAGAAGATGTTGTGGGAGTGCTCGGCAACGTACGGCTAGTCTATGCGTCAGCTTCGTAAGGTCCAGGCAGCCGCGAGTCCGACTTACACCGTGCTTTGAGCCAACAATGTAACAATCGTCCGTCTTGCTGGGGGCCACAAACGTATCCATCAGCTGGTTGGGGTCTTCGCCTTGGCCAGGGCCAGACAAGGACTCTCCGTGATCTGCCATCGTTAGCAACGAAATCCCGTCTGCAGCTTTGCAGTTGACGTACCAGTTGTGTAAGTGGACGGCGGAGGGGGCAGGTGGTGCTGAAACAGCATGTAGTACTTGTGAGCGGTGCCTCCAATGCCCCGGAAGACGTCGCACTTCATGAACTCGTCGACGTAGGAGCCGAAGCCGTCAATGATGTCATGGTCATCCCAAATGTTCACCTGGGGGATGGTACCATTCATGCCGGCGAACGGCTCCCTCGAATACCACTTGATGTAGTTCTTCAGGTAGTAGTCGTCGCAAGCCTGGCGCAGCTTCTCGGGGAAGGGGTAGTGTCGCCTCTTGGTCGGGTTGGAGATATCTGTCCACGCGCGTAACGGGCCCGAAACACGGATGCCGTCGTTGTAGATCTGATCGCCTCCGCCAATCCTGAACAACCTAGTCAGCATCTTGCCATTCACACACCCCCTTTGATTGATAACAGGTCACTATACGTACATGACATGAAAAGGCTTCTCGCGGTGGCGTCTAGTGACATCGTTCCACAGGGCAAGGCCACTGTAGGCCTCCTCGTCGGTACCGACGCTGAAGCCGTTGCACGAGTGGAACATCATCCTCATGGACTCGTTTGTGGCAGGGACCCAGAAGTGATTGCGTTGAGGCTTCGTCTGGCTTGTGAAGCGCACGTCGTCGAACCAGTACTCCCACTTGCCCTCCTCGTGGTCCATCTCGACGTGCACGTCAAAGGCCCAAAATGTGTTGCGAGGGTCCGAATACAGGCACTCGCCTTTGACTTGTGTGCTGTCGCTGTACGACACGTAGCCCTCGAGCGCATGCGCACCGTCCGTCGTACCGACCCCGTTCGTACCATTGGTGGCGGGCGTCTCGTGGTACTGGCGTCCGTCGCTGGCGAGCTCGCGACGGAGGTTCATGGTGGGAACAAAGTTCTGCGTCTTGCCGCCGCCAGAGACGACAATGAGAGCGCTGCCACGCCAGAGCGTGCCCTCAGTGCGGCGGTAGTTGAGAAGCGGGCCGCAGACGACTTCACGGCCGTCAGAAACGCCTGCGTTTTCGACACCGTCCACATGGGCATCCTGGCGGGGCTCAATCTCCTCTTTGGCCTCGGCGGCGCCAATCATGATAGGCTTGAAGTTCCCTGCGCGGTGCTCGGCGGTCGTGGGGCGCTCAGGTTCGACGCGATCCTTGTTGAGGAAGCTGGCGAGATCGCTGGTGTTGCCGTGCGTCTCCTGCGCGTGGCGGGGCACAGCTTGGCCGGCGTGGCGTAGAAAGGCAGGGCTCTCCTGGTGGCGCCATCTGCTGGCAGAGGCGTAGGGATTCTTCTCGACATCGTCAAGCTTCTCGGCGTTGGAGGCCATGGCGAAGCAAGTATTGGTGAAGAGTGTGAGTCGGGAATTTTGGGTGGACTCGGAATGGACTCAATGACGTTATGCAGCTGTTTTAGCGCAACGAGACAACGCGTCTTGGGCTGGCCGGCCGGCTGACAGGGCTGACCACAACGAAGACCCCGACAGAATGACGCGCCGCGTCTGGTTTGCGCTGCGCTATGGGCGGGTGAAAGCTGCGAAAGCAACTCGAAGCTCGGAAAAAGATGTATCACAAATCTCGAGGACTGTTGAAGGAGAGACAAGGTTGCCAGCAAAAGAGGTTTGGGAGGAGGAAAAGGGGAGACCGGGAAAAGAGACGAGGAAAACAATTGGGCAAGCCAGCCAGCCAGAAAGATGGATGGTCAAGCTGCGAACCACCGAAACCAGGTCGTCGACACTCAGATTCGGCGGGGGAGCTAGAGCTAGTGAGCTAACAAGCTTGGGGTGGTTGCTACCAGGCTTGCCAGGGACGGAAGCTGGGTGGAAGCTCGTTGCTGGGGGCGGACGGGCTGAGAACGTGGAATTGCGACGACAGGGATTCGTCGTCGTCAGATTGCTCAGATTGCGAGGCAGCCCAGAGGGGTCAGACGGAAAGGCAAGGGTGGGGACCATCAGGCGTCTCTTGCTCGACGCTGCTGCTACGGCTGCTGCTGATGGTGCCGTCAGCCCGCGCCCAGAAGCCAGCGGCGCTCCTCAATCCAAGCTTCTGACCCGTGATGCTTGCTGGCAGCCAAGAGACATCGTCAGAGAGGACCAGGTGTTCGCCCTTGGCGCATCGTTGGCGAGGGGTAGACTGCCAGGGTGGCGAAGGATGGACGGCCAGGCCAGATCGCTAGCTTTCATTCGCTTGGCGACGATGATGTCGTCTTCAGCTACGGGGCGGCCCATGATGAAGGAAGAAGATCTGGCTGATGCTATTCACTACGAATGATGAAGGCCACGCAACACACGAACCGCAGCATGCAGGACACGACGGCAGGCGCGTTGGGCTGAGGCGTCACTGCCGGCGGAGGTGCAGGACGTGTGTGCCAGGGAAGTAACGACCTCGACGACCTACCAACTTTCCACTACGAAAACAGCATCCCGAGGCAAGTGCGAAAGCCAAGAGCCGCGGGCGCCTGCGCATCTTGAAACGGAGGGCGCCCGACATCCTTGCACGCGGCTCGTTTAGGCGTCTCCACCGGGACCCACGAGGCTATTAGCGTCCATCCCACCACTCCCCACCGTCATCGATCGGACGATGGTCGACATGCAGTCACGCAATACAATTTCAGTGACAAGCGATACGGCTTTCTTTTCTTTGACTTGCTGTTCTTGAAGACTTATTGAATGCTGCGTCCGCCATCTCACCAGTTTCAGGTCCAATTGAGTCACCAGAGTAGCGTGAGGCAGCACAAACGCGCCGACGCAACAACCCTGCCCAGAATCATGTGCATCTGTATCAACATCGTGCGTAGTGAGCAGCAAGGTTCTCTCCATAGCGAGTAACATCATCACCCCAGGCCCGCCTCTCGCCTCGTACTAGCCAGTAAGCGCACCTACGCCTCGTCCTCAGCGTCCGTATCAGGGTCCCACTCCGGCGGCGGGCGCCGAAACTTGGACCCCTCATGGCCGTGGCATCCAAGGGTTCCGTTATGGTTGTAAAGGACCTTGTCGAGGTCAATCTTGGTCTTGCGCGTGCCGCCTTTCTCGTCAGCCCTGTGGCACCGACAGGCGAGGTACTGCGTGCCGTCCTTGTAGCTGTTGGTGAGCTTGCACTTTTCGCAGCTGCCGTGGAACCTGCCGCTGTTTCCAACCGTCAGCATGGCGCTTGCATTCTGTCTGTCTGCCGCTTTTCCCCGGGGAAAGGAGGAACGGATGAGAGGCTTACTTCTCGGAGGCGACGAGGGTGCCACCGTTGTTGCCGACGCATTTGCTGAGATCAATCCTGTGATGGTGGTCAGCTGCGTGAGCCAGCACACGCACAGAGAGAGAGTAGCAGGAAAACGATGAGTCGGGTTAGAAAGGGCGAAGAAGGAGGAGCCTTACTGGGTCCAGTCATAGTCGAAGATCTCCGTCTTGTCGTTGTTGCAGTAGGTGCCGAGGATGCGGTTGTTGCGAAACTTGCAGGCGTCCCACACACACGTCTTGACGAAGCTGCCGTCGCTGGCGCCGGCGCTACTGCCAACCCAAGCGAGGACGACCATGGCGGCGAAGACGACGCGCGCGTTGGGGGCCATGTTGCTGGTGTTGCTACTGTTGAATGGGCTCGTTAGAGATGGACCAGGCGGTTCTGCTTCGTGAGGCTGTTGAAAGATCCAGAATGCAGACTGTTGTGCTTATTCGTGTTGGTGAAGTGGGCGGCGGAAGAAATTGGAAAGTCAGGTTGACTCCTCGCAACACTTGCACCAAGCATTCGGAACGTGCCTGCGCTGGACTTCCGGTGAATCACAGGTATTAAATTGGAAAGAGCACGAACGAAGTACGTGACGCAGGCTTGATTAACGAATGCGCCGTCCTCTGGATGCACTAGCCGTCTTATCCTGAGCCCTCCAAACCGCCAACAATCTTCCTGCAATCGAGGTTTGCGACTTTAGAATAGGTGCACGCCGAAATCAACCAATTTGCACCCTGGGATGGGCTTAGCAAAGTCTATACACTTACTGCAGTTGCCAGACCCATGGGCGCTCTCTTCTGAAAAGCAAGCACAATGACGCAAGAGCAAGTTGAAGCAAGTGAAGTTCAAAATATTGCAAATACTACGCTAAATGTTTGCTATGCATCCCACAAACGCCTCAACACACAATATGACAATGTTCACGCTGCAGCAGACTTCTCCTTGAGCTCCGGGCTCCCGGGTGTCTCAGCAACACCACGTCCTTCCTCACCCTCTACGGCCTTTCCCTTTCCCTGTCCCTGACGGAAGTACCCGTGAATCTCAGGCGACCAGTCGCCTTCACCGGCAGCCTCCTCTTCACCTCCAGCCTTCTCGCCGTTGCCGCCGCGCTGCTCCTCTTCCCACTCGGTCCTCAGATCACGGATCTGCGACTTGAGGTCCAGGTCGGGGTTGTATTCCTTGCCGGCGCCGCGCATCCTCTCCCAAGCCGAGAGATGCACAGGGTGCACGGCGACGCCGTGGTATTCCTTCTCGCGACCCTGGATAATGTACATCCACCGCCTCTCCTGCTCGCGCAGGTCGAGGCCCGTCGTGTCGGGTAGGAAGCCCCAGGTAAGCAGCATGCCGGCGAGGCCAAACCAGGGCACGACGTGGAACTTGGTCGGCGTGTCGATGTAATTGTACAGGACACTTGCGAGGAGAGCACCGGCCTTGCCGATGCAGGCGGAGAAGCCGTGGGCCGAAGCGCGGACGGGCGTGGGGAACACTTCACCGGCCACGAGGAATGTGACGCTGTTGGGGCCGAACTGGTTGAAGAAGGAGGAGAGGAAGTACATGGCCTGGAAGGCGTGGATGCCGGCGGGGGAGGTGTAGTAGTCGTAGTTGAACGCAGGAATGACGAACATGATGAAGCACATGAAGAAGCCGACCTGCTGCATCGTCTTGCGGCCGTAAAGCTTGTTGTCGATGAGGAGACTGGCGAGGTAGTATCCCGCAAGGGAGACAACAACATTGATGAGGTTCCAAGTCCACTTCTCCATCAGACTGTTGGGGTTGGAGGAGATGACCGAGATGAACTGGCCCTGGAAGAGCTTGTTGCCGTAGAAGAAGACATCGTGCAGAACCAGGTACCGGCGGTGGCGAGCAGGCGGCCGCCAAAGTTGCTGCAACAGGCGCGCAGCGCGGTGACGTCGTAGCCGGTGACGGAGACGCCGGCACGCTGCTTCGCGAGGGCGAGCTGGCGGTTGGCACGGGGCATCTTCCAGGTACGGTAGTAGACGAGCCACAGGGTGCCGATGGCGGGCAAGGCAAAGGAGATGCGGAAGGTGAACTGGGCGGCCGACTCGGAGTAGGGCCCGGCGCCCTTGCCCTCGTTGAAGATGGCGAGAAGGGCAATGAGGACAACCTGGTTGAAGAACTGACCCCAGCCCTGCATGAGGAAGGCCATGGTGACGCGACGGCCGCGATGGAGACGATCCTCACGCGTTGAGAGACGGCCAGCGGCGACGGCAGACTCCATGGAAGAGGTGGCGGTGATGGGGTATTCGCCCCCGACGCCGAGGCCGTAGAAGAAGAGAGACCAGGCGTAGAAGATGACCCAACCCTGCAGCGTGGCGGCCCAGGAGCCTGTGAGCATGAGAAGACCGACAAACATGATGAGAGCGTCCTGAATGAGACCCCATCGACGGCCGATCCAGTCTCCGATAATCTGCGAGCCAGCGTTAGCATTGGAGAGGACCTCGAAGTACAAGAGGATTCAACTTACACCAACGACGACCTGACCGATCATGATACCGACAATCTCGAGATAGGTGACCGAGGCGACCCAGTTGCTGGCGCACGCCGTTCCAGACGAACCCCAGCACTCGGGCCACACGGCGTGGAAGAGCGGCTCCAAGTTTCCAATGGAGAACAGGACGTAACCCTCAAGACCGAGACCGGCGCCGGGCAGGATGGCGTTGCGGAAGTACCAGCCCACGGGCGAGAGGGGATCCTTCTTCATCATTTGGCCGGTGGCTTTGAGCTCGCTGGCGGCCTCCTCGCGATCGACCTTGGTCACGAAAGCGATGCGCTGACGGAGGGGCAAATCGGCCCAGTAGACGCCCTCGGGCGTGTAAGAATCATCGGGGCGGGTGATGTGGGCGAAGATGCGGCGCTCGTGTTCGGTGGTGTGTTCGCGGGGGAAATCATCGTGTTCGTCACCCGTCTCAGGGCCGTGAGGGACGGGGATCTCGCCGATACGAGGATCGTGGTGTTCCTGGTGGCGGAGGAGTTCAGCCATGGCGGGCTGCCCGTGTAGTGGACGTTGGCTGTGGGCCTGGAGAACCGTTTCGACGTTGCAACGGTGCGGTGGGTGCTAGGTTGTGGCAAGGAGGAGGATGGTGAAGAAGAAGGAAAAGTAGTGGCGTCAATGGCTTGCAGAAGCCAGGGAGCACTACGAACGAGGAGGCAACGGTTGAGGGAGGGAGGGAGACGAGAGAGGGGAGGGGGAAGAGCGTGAGAAAAGAAGGGAGTAGACACCCGAGAGCAGAGGGCAGGATCAAAGGGTGACTTAACCTTCTTGAGATGTTCCTGGGGAAAGCAAAAGTCGCTTTCAGCAGCCAGCTCCTGCTTTTCCAGCTTTGACACGATTTTATGACCTTTTGGGCCCAGGCAGTCCGCCCCCCGCCGCCATCAGAGGGGCGTGCGCGCCATCTGGCCATCTCCCCACTCTCTCTCTCTCATGGATCTAGGAAGGTGGGTGGGCAAAAAAAAAAAAATAGAATAGAGATGGCCCAGCCCGTCCAGGGTCCATCCGGCGGCACCTCTGCTCCAGAGAGACATACTCACACACACAATAAGAACTAGCCTGGGCGAACATCCCAACCAGACGGCCGGGGACGTGTAGATTGAGCACGCTGTCGCGGTAGTGGACCGGCGATTGGCAGACGAAGATCCAGGTTGAGAGACAAGGCTACCTGACCCTGGATTAGCACTGTTGGTGCTGCACAAAACCGGCTGACGAGTTTGGGTACAAGTAGAGACCAGTCGGCAGCGCGGCGAGTAAGGTCCTTCACTTGAGGCCGGCGATTGCCCCACTTGGGCGAAAGAAGAACCGACTTCCGCTTTACCGCGTGAAATCAAGGGACGAGTGAAGACGAAAAAAAATAGATGGGCACTTTTACTTACCTTCCTCAGGGCCAGAGACGGGCCAGAGACACAAGCAAAGAAAGGACCACCATTCCACACCCCCCAATTGAGTTCCTCGTACGTCACTCCGCCCCGCCGCCGCTCGTTGGTCGCGTGCCGTCTTTCCCAGAACAATCCACACAGCATCCCAGATCCCACCCTCGTGCGTCCTGGCCCCTCCCCCATCGGCCGAGAGCGACGTCGACTCAAGCTTTTATCTCCGGCTGCAGAGGTCATCAGATTGGCCAATCATGTTGCCGAAACAAGAAACGTGCTCGATCCATTGCCTGTCAGTGAACCCGCTCCATCCGCCTTGCATCTTGTCGGTCGTCTTTCCTCGGCCCAAGTAATACGACAAGGGGGTAAAAACGCGTCGACAGAAGACGCCGAATCTGCCATGCAGCTTTCTGTTCTGCTCCCGCCCACATGCCAAGAAGGCCAAGCCGGGAATCCGCATGACGCCTTGGCATCGACAGGCCGCTGCCGATCAGGGCTGATGCCCCCTCCTTCTCGGAATGAGGCCGCGCTGCGCCACACCATCTGAATTCACCAGTCACACCCGCTCCATTCTGCTGCGCTGCTGCCCTTCCACCACGCGCGTCGGTAGCATTCAATTCACCGACATCATCAGCAGTGAGTCAAAAGGGGTTCAATTTTGTGACTCCTTCAAGCCTTTTCTTTCCGTGCACCGTGGAATGATCAGCACGTGGCCCCCCAGAAACCTTGCTGGCACTGCTTCCGCTTGTCCCAACTGTCTGACGATGACCCACCCTATGGTCGGATCAAACCGCCTGCGCCTCCGTTCCTCTTTCTCCCAAGTATACACAAAGAACAAATGAAATCCCTAAGAACGACCGAGCGTGGTCTTGTTGAAGATATGTGTAGTGTTGTTGTTTGCTAGAGTACGAGTGTCCATAACGAATGATGTGCAGAGGAATCGTACTCGAGAGTGGCGCTTGATTGTTGGCTTCCAGAGTCGAAGGTTTTTTTTGTTTTCGGTTGCATCTCCACGTTGCTTGGCTTGGATCGCAAATATCAAACGGAAAGAAGAGAAGAGAGGGTGAAACAGAGAAAAAAAAACCGAGATAAAAAGATGAAGAGACACAAAAAGAAGAAGAACGATCCTCCCCTCACCCGTCTCAGAGAACGCCTTTCACATGTCGTTCTCGCGGGGCCACAAACCATGCGAGCTGATTGCAGTCTGCCTCGCGCCGGTTCGTCTGCCCACCCCTAAACGCCTCGCTTGGAAACATGGAAATAGGGAAAGAAAAACAAAAGAAAGAAAAAGTGTACAGATTCAGCAGTCTGTCCGCCAGAGCTGCCCTCACGCAGTCAACCGGTGCCCGCTCGCCATTCGACATGATTTTTATCCCATGAGTGGTCCCGTCTTTTCTGTCGGCCGTGGTGTTGGCTCGCCTTCTTCCCCGCTGGACCCACGTTGCACAGCGTTTGGCCGCGGCGTCTCGTCAATCCCAGGCGGCGTAGTGCTACCTGCCAACCCTGCCGTGTTGGGTGGCGTTGTCTGCGACGTCAAACCCGGCACCGCGTCGAGCGGCGGACCTGCCAGCTCCTTGGATGGTGTCACCACCTGTGTGATTGGTTCTGGGAGACTCTCTGACCCCAGCGCAACGCTATCGTGGCTGTCGGCGCGCATCATCTCGATTCCAAGCTTCGAACTCGGTAGCAGCGGCTTGACTCGGAAGGGCTTACTTTCGCGCGCAAGACCCAGCTCGTCGTCTTCATCGTCCGCCGAGTCGGTCCCTTCAGTTGTGCGCTTATCGACTCCCTCCTTTTTGACTCTTGGCTTCTCGCCCAGTCGTTGCGGCGGCACGGGCTTCAAGGATTGTTCGATTTGAGCGGGTGCCGAATGCTGCGTGAGCAAGTGCGGATGAGCCTTGTGAGACTCATTGGCTGTGAGGAGCTCCTCTTCGCGAATGCCCAGGCCCCCGCCATCCCATTCACCTGTAGCCTTGCGACTGATGACAACGGGAACCTCATCGGTGATCACCGACTCCGAGTCTCCAAACATACTGGAACTGATCGAGTCTTCCCGGCTTGAGGTGACCACACTACTGCCCGGTTGACCTGCGAACAGGGACGAGCTCGATGTTGGGCTGTCGTCGAAGCGCGAGTTGGCTCTGCGCAGGCCCGATGGTGCAGGGTGAGGCAGGAGTAGAGGCTGGCTCTGACCTGGTGACTGGGGCTTCCATCGGCAGAGATTCTTCAACACCTCCGACAGTTTTGAGCTTGAGATCGGCTTCTCGATCAGCGAGTCGAAATAGTGCGGTGCCTGCAACTCCTTCAGATACGCTGTAATAGCGACAATAGGGGTGTGTGAGTTCGTATTCTTCGTCTCTCGAATCATCCGTGCAACATCTGCGCCGTTGATTTGTGGCAATCGGTACTCGAGGAAGATGATGTCAAACTTGATATCACTCATCGAGTAACGTACTGCTTCAGATCCGTTAGAGACTGAAATGGTGCGGCAACGCAACTTTTCCAAGAGTTTCTCCATGACCATGCGTGAGACTGGGTGATCTTCACAAATCAGCACGTCCAGTGGCCTGAACATCGGGCCGTCATCAAAGGCAATCTGTGAGAGGCGACGGGAACTTTGCCTACGGCGCTGTACACGCAACAGAGCACTGTGCTTTTCACCCTCATTGTCGGAGGATGACGGTGACATGTCGAAGACTTGACTGCGCCTGTTGCGATGGTGTGAGAGCACGTCGGATGTGATCGGGCTGCCCTCCTGCGATTGAGAGCCAACGGTCAAGGAGCGGGATCGTCCAGTAGATGAAGAGCTCAATTGTCTCGGCGTTGCCATCAACTTTTGCGGGGACAATGCCAATGGGGGAGGCGCCTGGCCCCGACCCTTCACAGGTGATGCTGATAAAGACGTTGCAGCCTTCTGCAGGCTTGGAGGCACCCTGGGGATGTCGATCGCCCCGTTGCACTGAGGTGAAGTGATCGATTGCTGCGAGAGGCCGGAGGATGTACTCGATGCCTTGCGTCGTCCTTCCCCTTGTTGTCCAGTCACAAAGGACACCAAGAGCGGCGAGGATGGCTGAGACGCTCGGCTGGGCGACGAGTTGGCCACGCTCAGTCCAGAGGGCGATTGTGGCCTGGCTTTGGCGTTCGAAATTGTTCTCTGCACAGGCATTGACATGACCGGGCTGCCCTCCAAGCCTGTCGAACCTCCGGGCGAGGTAACGCTACCCCCCGGGCTAGTAGAGGGTTTGTTTTGCGAGGCCAAGGCTTCGGCGCGCAGCTTCTGGATGACGTCCTTGTTGGCCTTCTCCAAAACCGGCAAGTTCTTGAAGGCGAACGAGCCGAAATCATCCGCCACAACCGGTTCGCTGAGGCGTCGGGTCTTCAGATCTCGAACGTGAGGTGGTATGTGAAGGGGCATAAGTCCACGTTTTATCGAGTTGACCTGTGATCGCACGCGGGATAGAGCATCGTGAGGACGATCAGGGTAGTCCGATCCTGCTGCAGACGAAGGCGGAGAGGTTTGATCCTCCATCTCCTCTGCGAATGACTGCAGAACAGCACCGCGAGCGTCGAAGTACTCCGTGTCTTCTGGGTCCTCAGTTTGTGGCACAAACTGAGCCTCATCCTCAACCAAGGTGTCCCAGTTGATGCCGTTGAACCAAGGGTGGCTCCGGATCTCCTCACCACCGGACTGGAATTTGTCCTCCAAATTAGATCCAAGTCTCTTAGAGGGCTCCATACAGAGCAGCTTGTTAATAAGATCCTTAGCCTCGTCCGATATCTCGCATTCCGTCTCGTCTGGCCATTGTATCTTGCGTGCCAGAATATTCTCAAATACGTGCTCAGCCTCACCAGCATGGAAGGGCGGAAATCCGTACATGAATTCGAACATGATGCAGCCGACCGACCACCAGTCACTTGTTTCATCTTGCTTCTCTCCGTTGATCGTCTCAGGCGCAAGATAATCAGGCGTGCCGACGAAACGCCTGTTAGTGTCCTCTGGATCGAACAAGGCCATGGGAGGGGGCATCATGCTGTTTTGCGGAGGTGTACTCTTCTTCAAGGTATCCAGGTTTGACTGGGATTGAGATTGCAGGCTTGACTGCTTTGGAAAGGAGTTTGCCTCAGGAAAGCTTGCAGCGTCGCTGTCTGGCCGGGTATCCACCGGCGATTTGGCATACGGCATGATAGCGCTACTTGACTCTGCGTCGTTGAGCGAGAATGACTGCAACATGTTCGCGAGAGCTTCGCTGCCGCCACTGTCGCTTCGATGACTGGATACCCGGCGAGTTTCTTGCTGTGGGTTGCCGAGGCTGAAATACGATGGTTGGCCGAGGCCGAGACTGGCTCCCACGTCAGGTGTGGACTGAGGGGTCAGGTTAGGCGACGGCGAGTTCCCATGAAGGTCCAGTGAAGTCGAGCGGGAGGAGGCCATGGAAGCCGAGCGAGCAAACGGGCCCTGCTTCAAGAGGTCCGGGGTGGGGTCGCTATTTTCGCTATTGAGGGCTCGCTTCTGCCTGCCTACGAGACCCATGCGCGAAAGGCCAAAATCAGTCAGCTTGAGGTGACCTTTCTGGTCAATGAGTAGGTTGTCAGGCTTCAAATCGCGATGAATGATGTCTCGACTGTGGAGATGCTCTACGCCTAGTATGACCTCGCCCAAGTACTTCTTGGCCCAGTCCTCAGGCAAACCTCCAAGGACCTTGATCAAAGAGGCACAGTCTCCGCCGTTGAGATATTCCATCACCAGGTAGAGATAGTCTTTGCTTGAAAATGTCCAGTAGAGCTTGGCAACGAATTCGCTCTGCCCTTGCCACATGAGAATTGCGCGCTCGGCCTTGACGTTTCCGACTTGATTCTTGGCAACCATGTCTGCTTTTTTGAGCACCTTGATGGCAAAGTATTCGCCCGTCGACTTCTTCTTTGACAGATACACGCTTCCAAACGCGCCTTTGCTGATGGGCTTGATAATCTCGAAGTCTTTGATAGAGGGCGGCGCGGGTCGGGCTTGGGGAGGAGGGTTGTGAGCTCCCAAGCGAGGTGATGGAGGAGGCTTCATGGCAAACTCAGACATGGCGGCAGATGACTGGCGTCGATGATGGTGAATTGCGGCCACAGCCGGGGAGGAGAATTCGCTGCCCGGCATCATGGGGGATGCCTCAGGAGAAGCGATGCCATCATGTCCAAACACGAAGTTCCGGGGTTTGTTGATGCGGAGTGGCGATGACGGCTGCGTTGCGCGCGAGGGAGACTCCTGTCGTCGAGGCGAAGAGGTCCCTGGGAGGATGAGACTTCGACGATGATGCTGACGCGAGCTTGCCGCACGGCGAAGGTCGCCGAATTCGGATATGGGCGAGTCTGTTCGCGGTGCTTGCCGCGATGCCAGCGACGACGATCGGATGCTGCCGTCACTATCGCCAGTATCGCTCTCAAACATGATGGAGCCGCGTCTCGAGTCACGAGCTGTGGCCTTGTTGGCTAGACCGCCAAAGTTGGATTTGGGTGTAGGGCACTCCTTGGGGCTGCTCGATCTCGTGGAACCCACAAATGACACTGGCCGAGTGTAGTCGGCATTCTCGCCGAGCGATACCTGCTGAAGTGCAGCGGCCAGTGCAGACGTGTTGTCTGTGGGGTCCTGCTGGAAGAATGATGGCTCTTCGATAGCGGGCGTGATCTCCTGGTCTTCTTCCTCCGCTTCGTCCTCAGTGGAATCGCTCAGACGTCCAGAAGCGATACGAGCTGCCTTCCGCATGGCCTCATCAATGCAATCCTGCACAATGACGGCGAATTCGACCCTGATGCGTTCCGCATACTCGATGATTTTCCGGTGCCGAAAAACAGCTTCAACTTTTGCCTTGGCAGCCTTCTCCGTATCAGCGCAAAGCAGGGCCAGTCCTGTCTCCTGTTCCAGCGTGTTTGTGCTCGGCGACTGCCAGTGCATGACCTGAGAGATGCGCGATTCGGATTGCGGCGACTGCGTTCGGAGCTCCCCAGGTGCATGAGAGGACGACTCCTTGATGGCTGGCGTGCTTACTTCTATGGCCGTGTCACAAAGGTCCACCAAGAGTTCCACGATTCTGGCCTGTGGACGGCGGATGGCAAACGAGCGAGCCCTGGCATGACCAAAGCCGCCCGTGCCAGACCGGTCTCTCGACTGAGACACTGATGTGCCCGGCGACGACTGGCTCGAAGGAGGTGGTCCGATGGCCAGGCCCTTGTACTCGGCGAGGGGAAGCGACGGTTGTTCACCTGTCAAGGAGCGACTCTTCCTGGCCTCTAATGCGTCGAGGACCTTGACAATGGCATGTCGATGTTCTGTGAGGTTCTCCTGAGCCATTTGTACGTCCATCTCGGCCCTGTGCTCCTGCAAACACAGATCTGTGTGCTTCTCGAACCACCAGGGCGAGATTTGACGTTCGCATATGCGACACAAGACTGGCAGTGGTGGTGGGTGGTTCTCGGGATCTTCTACGCCAGACTCGGCGAGCTGGGTCAGGTAGCTGGCGAGGACCTCAGCCCCGGATCCCAAGCTGTCGACAATGACGGCGGGTAGGTCAATTTGGATTTCGCGGGGCGCGATCCAGGGTCGAATCATCCACATAGTCTAAACGGAAGCGGTGCATCAGTAAAAGCGTTGCCACGAATGCAAGGGGGTCGTGGTCTCACATGGCTCTCTCCTCCCGACACCACGTCGTACACCATAATGCCTTGGGCCTCCAGCTCAATGGCGTGTGCGGGGCGCTCTTCAGGCGAGCCTTGAGGATCCTGGAGGTCGTCGATCGACAACAGTCGCGACAGGGGGCCTGCATGAACGGCGAAGCGAACCCTTTGGCTGCGCGAGTCGTCGGATCTCATGGCCTCGGCAACGTCTAAGAAGACACTCTTGTTGTCACCGAGGATCAGGTCGCTGATGCTTGTGCCCGGAACAGAGGTTGCCGTGGTCCCGATGACCTCAGACCACGAGGGACTGACCCATCGTATCGTGCCGTCGAGGTTGAGGTCCATGATGACATTGAGCGTCTGCTCGGCAGCCTCCCGAAGCTCCTCTCGTTCCTCTCTGATGTCTTCGGAAAATGTCCGCTCCATGACCCCAGCCGACTGTGCTCGGAGAGAGGTCACAGCTGGCGGGGCCAACATGTTGCTGGCATCTTTGCTGTCCATTGTTGAGAGTGACCAGGTTTATTTTGCAGGGTCGTCGATACCATTGGCCGGGTCGTACCTTCTCGGCACTTCAAGGCGAAGTCACAGAAGCAGCTTCGACTTGATAGCGTGTTCGATGGTATACAGTCGGGACGCGTCCGAGGCGAGCTCTGGGTCGGTCGTCCAGTGGTTCACCCGTTCCGACGGGGATGTTGTAGCCAGAAGTCTGGCAGGCGGCCAGAACTACAGGTTGGCAAGACCCCCCGACATATCGATGAAGGGAGGGAAGTGGTCTGGCTCGAACGGGCGAGATTCTTGGACCTCACCGTGGACGACGAGGCGCGGGCTCGGGGCTCGGGTGTCGGGTGATGGGATGTGCGTGATCGGGAGTAGGCAGGTCGGAGATCAGCCGTCGTTGGGCGCGCTGCAGGTGGACGAGGAGAACGTCGTTTCTGCCTCAGTAACCGCACGATAGCAGGGATCCGAGACAGAAGACAGTCGCTGACCGGTCGGCTCGCAGCAGCAGTCGGCAAAAGAAGAAAAGAAAAAGTAAAGAATCGACGTCCTTCGTAGGGGCGGGACAAGGTGCGAATTCCGAAGTGAAGAAGAGAAGAACCGTGCGATGCGTGACGAGGAGTAGCCGTGCCGTTGACTCAATTCCTGTCTAGCCGATTGACTTGGCAGATGCGGACGAAAAGATAAGAGGCGGCAAGGCACAGACTCTGAAGGGACGACTGAAGGGGTGCGGATGTTTTTCTCAGGCCAGGAAACAGGGCGAAGAGAAAGTTCACGCCAGGGTTGTTGACTGCCTCTTGGATCCAGGCAAGTTGTGTTGGACGGGGCGGAAGGCACACAATAGGTGGTGGGCAGAACACCACTGAAGCATGGGGTAGGTGGGTTCACTTGCACTTGCACCCGTACTGTGAGTGTGAGGTAAGCTAGGTAACTCGGCTCTATCATCAATAATTAACCAGCACCTCGCAGCTAGCATCTAGCACCACCACGACCACCACCATCCTTTGGCTAGAGGCCGGGACGAAACGGCAGCGCTGGCACTCACTGGCTTCGCCTTACTGACATTAGGTAGGTACCCACCTCGTTCAGTCACCCCCCATCACAGTGCCTGTGGGGGGAAGCCGTCTGTTGGCGGTGTCTACAGTGTGAGCAGCCGCGGTATGAGCGGGGAAGGAGCATATTTCCACCCAATGAGAAGACGGAGGCTGCTGCGACACCTGGTAGCGGTACATGCATGACACGCCCATCTCTTATGCAATCCTCCGTACCCATACCAGATGCAGCTTAGTCGCTGCGCCTTTGCCTGGATCGCTACCATGCAAGGGGATATAGATGGGCAGACTGTGCCAGTCCCCAGTCCAGTCGACCCCATTTTCTTCTCGCACGGAGGTTGTGTTGTTTATTATCTCCCCATCGTCGAATGTTTGTATACAAGAGGCAATAGCCTTGCAAGAGCACTTGCGCAGTCTATGTGAAACCGTAGAAACGAGCCTGGGATGCAAAGGACCTGAGCCACTGATTTTGCTTTGTTTCGCTTTGCTTTCCCTTCTGCTGACAGGCAAGTCGCATATGGGGTCTGGTCTGCGTCAAGCACTCAAAGAAGGTCCGTGAAGGAAACAGACAAAAAGGAAGGGAAACGCCCAGGGTACAGGGCAAACAATCCCCGTCCCTCGAGTCCCTTCCGCGAAAAGAGACCGTGTTGGCTTGGACGCCAGGCAGGCTGGTGCTCGCAAGATATCGTGTGTCTCTCTGTTCTCCCTCCACGTCACCCAACCCAGACCACTGTGTCGTGAACTTCATGTGGATGAATACGTGGTATGGCTTGGGTGGCAGCTCCTCCATCCCCTCTCTCTTCGCCTGTCCCGTCGCCAGCCACACACACACGCACCCCCAAATCCAGAAGAACATGCCAATCGAAAGTCTGGGCAGCATCCGACCCTCATAAGATTGTGGTCAGAAAGTTCACCATCGCATGGCAAAGCCTCCCACCCCCAAAGAGCCCCTTCGGAGAATCTGCATGACCGATAGTACTCCATGAGTTGCCATCGGTCTGTGAGAGAGACCCCTTGGGACAGATCGACCACCAAAGCATCGATTCCTTGGCCCCGCCATCGTGCACACCCCCCCATCCGTGGCCTCTCGCCTTTCTCATGCTGCCGTCACTGCAGACATTGGACGCATCCTCGGTTTATCGAGGCCACCCCCAGATAGAAAGACCACCAAAATGTCGAAAAAGGACCCTCCAAGGTCTCGCTGACTACTAGGCTGCGCCGGCAGAGCCGTCGTGGCCAACGCCATCCTGGCCAGGCGGCATCCTTCTGCTGCATGCCGAAGCCCTCTAGCCCCAAAGTTTACGTCAGGTTGTAGTGGTTTCTCAACCCCTTGGCCGTGTCGACGAACCCGAGCGTAGACCTCGACACCCTATCGTACATGTAGCTTGCCTTGCCATTTTTACTCTCCCGCTTGTTCCCGCTTGTCGTAGGCTGGAACGTCTCATTCGACTCTCATTCGACAGCGCTCTGCCCATGAGCACCAAGCCGATGTACATGCACACGCCGTGGGTCCTGTAGCACGTTCTGCAAGCATACTGGTGTCGTTGGTTCTTGTGCATGTGCGTGTGTGCATGCGACTGTGCTCCTGTTGAAGTATCTAGGTACCCAAGCACTCTCCTTACAACCTCTCCCCCGCACATCACCATCACGGCACCACGGCATCTTCCATCAGACCCCCAATACCCATCAATGGTCGGATGCGGGTTCCTATAGACTGCCATCTGGTTTCGATGTGCTTGTGACGCATGCCTCTCTTTGCTTCGATTCACTTCCATCATGACGCGGCAAACCCGGACACAAACGTACGAAGCCACATGGTTTGATTCATCCGCCATGGTCAAGACACAGTCGCTGCCTGTCATACTTGCTCACCTGCAACATCCATCGGCAGCCATCCAGCACGTCCGTCTCGCATTCGCACCTACAATAGGTGCGCCGTCGCATTGTCAAGGACATGGCTTGTTCGGATCGGGGAAACGCAACCCGCCTCAGCGATATCGGGTTGCCAAGTCATCATTTTGAGGGGGGGGGGACTCGATCGCCAACCAATGCAGTAAGTAACAGCCACCGGGCACAGGCCAGGTCATGTCAGGGAAGGTGGGTGAGTGAAGTGCGAGATGTGAGGTGAGGTGCGCTGAAGAAAGCCAGCCATTCATGGCATCACAGCCACTACTGACTTCATGCAAATGCGACCTACCTCCTCCCTATTGACTGTTGCATCACTGAGAACACAGGGTCGAAGGACTACATTTGTGTTTCGTCAAGATGACAGTCTTCCAAGTTTATCTTTCGTTGCTGGCTGTGCCGCAACTCCGTTTCCACGACAAACCTTGACAAATCGAAGAGAAGAGCGCCGCCGATGACAAAAGATCACGAACATCAATGCTCATGCTCCGCCATCATAGGGATGCATCCTGGTGGCTCTCTGCCCGACGCAACGCAAGGAGTCACAGTCCACGACTCTGTAGTTGCATTCCCAGTCCTTGAAGATCGCCCGCAAACTTGTATCGATGGCAGATTGCAACGAGACTGACGCTGCAATGTCCTGATTATGCCATCGCACACTGGAAAGGTTCTGGTCGAGGGTCTCAGCTAAAACCATAGACATCATGTCAGCCCCCCCTGTTCCGTGACGATTACACAACCGCAACGGCCGTTGACAATCGTGGAACGCGAGAGGCGCCGTTGCTATCACCAAAACCCAGAATCTGTCAGCCCATCGAAAAAAAAACATGCTCCGCCCGCTGTTGCAACAAGCACCCTGTAATCATCGGCGCACTCGATCGACCATGGCTCGTCGCCCAGCATGTCCTCACACCACCATCTCACGAGCCGTGTTCTAAGCCACCACCCTGCACCTCTGCCTACCATCTGATTTTCTACGGCAACGCCATCGCATGCAGCTCGTGCATTGGCAATGGCACGCCACTGTCAGGTAAGTCAATCTTGCAAGGTTGTCTGCCAGCTGCAGACGTGGCTGTCGAGGGTGTTGGTCCTTGCGACCCCATGATGTCCTCATGAATGCATCCCAGTTGCGTCTGGCCAATCGGGGAAGCTATGACGAGAGCAGAGGCTTTAGTCATTGCACCTCTGTTTGGAGCACCCAATCGACGCATCCCAGGCCGAGATGCGCGACGCAAGATCCAACCTCGCTCGCTTGTCCCCGTGCCCCGAGGGAATTGGACGCTGCCATCCTCCTTCTTGACCGCCATCCCTCATCGTACCTGCGGAAAGCCGGTCTAGCTGAATGCCTGCAGCTTCGCTTCACTCTCTGTCCAGCAACCTGTGCCGCTTGGCTCGAGTTTCGACACCACGGTGACCGACACGCAGTCACAACCTCGCACGGGATGTGCTTTGGGGTACTTTACCCACCCTCGATCTGTTGTTGGCTTCCTCATCAAGAGCCTAAACCATGAAACCGAGACTCAGCAGCACCACAGCCCCCTGTGACATGGTGTCGACTACTGCGCCTGCCGACGTCTAAGGCTCAGCCGCTGTGAGCCTGCGGCAGCGCTAGGCTTGTTCCCCCTCAGTGCTTGGGCAAGCCAGCTCCTCCACCATTCCACTTTCGTCGCCAACTCGAGTAACGTGATCACTCCTGAACGTTGTTCGCGAGTCAAGATGCGCGACTCCAGACTATCCCATTGGAAACTCAATTCCCTTCTCAACTGCGGTTTGTGGGTACAGCTGGCAGTCTGGCGGAGAGCATGCCACAGACGCAGGCGGGCAAAACTCCTGACAGCTTTTCTGCGTTTCTCCCGTCCGTACGGACAAGCTGCTTCGTTCATGGTCTCGCGATTCGATCGGGTTTACCTAGACCTCCCATTTCCCTCCGTCCGGGTGATCAACTAGTTGCCAATTCAGTGCTAAATCGCCGGACCTGTCTTGAGAGACGCTTCCCCCCCCAAGATCTGCGCCGTTGAGATCGGCATGCCTTCGGTAATAGAGGGTCAG